CCGGTCTCAAATGATATTCGGCATTAAACGGAACGCACCTATGGTCAAGGTCGCTCCACTGCAGCAAGCGACTGCGCAGCGCCATTTTGGTTAGTATTAGCGCGTCGTTTCTTGTGAGAGCACGTGTCAGGGCCGTTACAGCACACAGTCCTCTGGTAAGTATTAAAGTTTATAATATTCATAATTAACCATATATGTATTATGTATTGCTCCTATAATTCCTGTGTTGAGTGATCAGTTGTCGTGAAATTGAATCCCTAGCAGCTGTTTCGTTGATGTTGAATGATTTAATCGAAATACACAGTCCCCTGGCCTCCAAGATGCCAGGGGACTGTAACCCATTCCAGGGGACTGCTGATATCAGTTCTCTGTTGATATTTTGCAGTCAACGCTATTATATGTATCGCACTAAACATAAGAATTTTTTACAGATGGCTTCGAAAAGGAAAAAGTTATCCAGAGAAGAAATATTACAGAAAAAGAGGGAAGCTGAACGTTTGAGGTACCAACGAAAAAAGAATGACCCGCAAATGAGGGAAGAAATGCGAATAAAGGAGAAGTTGAAATATGAAAGAAAAAAGGAAAAAGGCTTGAGAAAATTAGCCAAAGACATGACTTCACGTGAACATAGGGCTGCCTTAAAAAAGTGGAGGGAGCATTGTGCTGCTTACCGGGCCAAACAAAAGGATGCGACAGTGGCTCTCAATACACCACGTGCAAACATGCTTTCATCTGATCAAGGGAGCCCTTGTTCATCTGCAGGATGCAACACTTCAGTTTCCATTGACTTTCCTAGTAACCAGATCCCTACGGTAACGGCTATCAATTCACATCGAAGAAGCCAAGCCAAAAAGCGGAGAGAAAAAGTGAATAAGGAAAAGGATGAGAAGATAGAAGCTCTAAAGAAAAAAGTAGATAAATATAGGAAAAGAATAACAAGATTACAAAATAGAAGTAAGAAAAATAAAGCAGACACACCCAACACTAAAATGCAGAAGATGTTGAATGAACCTGGAGGTAGAAAAGAAGTGGTTAAGAAAGCGTTGTTTAGCGACGTTTTAAATGAACAACTCAAAGAAAATTATTCAAGTTTAAAATGTATTAAAGATAAACAAATATTTACGAAAGTCTTGTCTGGAGTTCGATTACAAAAGTACAGGCGCTGTATACCCAGAGACTGTGGTGTTTTGTATAGAGGTGTTCAGAGTACAAAACGTTACAATACTTTGACCGTGCCTGTGATACGGCGGATAAGAATACCAATAAGGTATTATAAGCAAGCTGTTCGGTCCTTTTTTGAAGATGACAGTAACAGTCGCATAGGAGCTGGGAAAAAAGAATACGTTACAAAACAGAATGTGAGAAAGCAAAAGAGATATCTTCTTGATACGATTCTTAATTTATACAAAAAATTTTTGGCAAATAACTTCAAGATTAGTTATCAAACATTCTGTCGGTTGCGTCCATTTTGGGTAGTAAGACCAAGTACACAAAATCGTGACACATGCTTGTGCGTAACTCACAGTAATTTGGACATGAAGATGCGGGCTCTATATGATGCAAAGATAATTGCCTACAACAACTACCAGAAGTTACTGGAACAGCTATGTTGTGACCGGTATAATGAAAACTGCTTATCAAGAAGATGCCTTCTTTGCAAAAATAGACTTCCTAAATATAAAGAATTCAACGATAAGAGAATCATAAAATATAAGATGTGGGTCCAAGAAAGACAAGAAATCATAGATTTAAAGACGAAAAAGCCAAAGATAGTGACAAAACACCTGAAAATGGTGTACAATGGACATCCCCGTCAAATAATATCACAATTACACACAGATTTAGAAAAATTCTTTGTACATCAAAGAAATATCATACATCAATACAGTGCTATAAATCATTTAAAACAAAATCTACAAGACGACGATGTCCTTATTCATATCGACTTCAGCGAAAATTATTACACAAGTATGCCGAAGAGATACAAGCATTTCATTTCGGTGGATCTAGAGCGCAATTGAGCCTGCATACAGTAGTAGTTTATTTAAAAGGTACAATACATTCCTACTAAACGATATCAGATAACATAGCCCACTCACCTGCTGCTATTTGGGTGCATCTAGGACCCATTTTTCAATCACTTCCATGTGGCATAAAGCATGTACATTTCTTGAGCGATGGCCCCGTTACGCAATACCGTAACAAAACAATGTTCTTTATGATGGCAACCAAACTACCGCAAGATATTCCAGGTATAGAACAATTCACCTGGAACTATACCGAGAGTGGGCATGGGAAAGGTGCACCAGATGGAGTTGGTGCAACCTGTAAAAGAACTGCCGATTTTGTTGTAAATGCTGGTGGCGATATAAATAATATCGAACAGTTTGTACAATGTATCCAAGAAAGATGCCCAAATATAACTTGCATCACAATCGACAGTGAAGATATTCAGGAAATGTCCAATAAACTTCAACAGGAGGCATTTAAGCAGAAGGGCATCAAAGGCACGTTAAATGTGCATCAAGTCACAGGGGTCTTTTCTAGCTCCATTTCTGACCTCCCAGCAAACTGTATAACCTTAACAATGAGGAGCCTCAGCTGTTTTTGCAACACAGGCATCTGTGAGCATTTTAAGATAGGTAACATTACTTATGACCTGAATCCAAGATTGAGAGTAGAAGATGTGTTTTCAGAATCGGATTCGGATAGTAATATAAATTTAAGCGAGTATAAGTCAAATATGCCTGTGAATGTCGTCAGTGATGAAGTCGCTGGAACTAGTGGTCGACAGCATTCATGTTATAGCACTGGAGACTACGTTCTTGTTAGATTTTTGGTAAAACATGTGGAGTATCGATATGCTGCCGTGGTTAATAAAGTCGACGAAGAGGAAAATGATTTGCGTGTTACATTTTTAAAGGTTTGTGATGACAAGGTTCAAACCTTTAAAATAGATGAAAGTGACATATCAGATGTATCATTTGACCATGTAGTTCAGAAGTTGGAGAGTCCTGATTTAATACTGAAAGGGAATCGAATATTTTACAAATTTGAGTCTTTGGTGAACGTGTATGAGAGATGATTGTTTCTTTCAAGTTACGAAGTCATCTGGCCGATACTCAGAGAATAGTTTTTTTTAAGTTTTGTTTGTAAGTTCAGATTTATTTTGTAAACTACAACAATATTGCATATATATGTCGGTAGGGGCATATTAAATGAATGACGTTGATCTTTTGTGATACTATTTTTATGACTACAAAACTACAAAATATCACATGGTGATGATGTTGAGTTTTTATATTTTCTGGATGTTCCATGCCTGGCTTTCTAATGAACCATCAAACGTATAAAAATGTTAGTTTTTCTATAAAAATTTGTAAGTGAAGTTTTATTTTGTTACTGTACTATCATAATAGTGTTAGTGAAGGTTGTTGAGTTTTTTTTTTGTGAAACTAGTTTCTTGATCTCATTTGTAGTACAAAATATAGAATGTTATGTGCCTCTTGATGAAACTGAATATTTTTGTATGACGTTATATGTTTTTGTATTCATTTTTACTGTACTACTATTAAGTGGTCATAGAGGTACCACTGATGATGCAAAATAAAGAATATTAAGCACATGCCTACGATTTTTATGAATTTTAAACAGTCCCCTACCTCACTAGGCAGTCCCCTGCCCTGCTTGAAACAGTCCTCTGTTACATATAACAGTCCCCTGCTAAGAACTTTTAGAAGACAGCTAATATCGGAGAAAATAGCTATTTCTTCAATGGGCATTTTCGTGTTTAAGATGTATGTGTCGATTTCGTACGCCTTAGATGGTGTTTCTTTGATATATATTGCTATAAAATCTCTGGCCAGATTTGTATGGTGCGTTGACGAGTTTACAGAGAATCACCCAAACATACGTAAGTGTTTACCGTCTTTTGTCACTCAGTATATTTTGACTCTAAAAATACATGGTACTTCGCACCCACCTCGTTTGTTCTTATCGCGATGCGTCGACGGCTACCTACTTTTAGTAGTCCCCCAGATCCACTACCAAAGATGCAATATTTACAACTCCAAGGACACTGCAAGTGCGGCAGATAGATACGCAATTCGTCCGCCAAAATTATCTTTCTTTTAAGAGCAAATGTACGGCGAAACCTATGATGGGTGAAATATGGCTAATACGTAAGTAGAATTATCGGGGTTGGCAGCGTATAAACATACTAATATGAGCATCGTTGACATACACTGACCCCCTACAACCCCCACCCCTTAATTTTTTACCCCTAAAATAGTATAATAGTGATCAGAATCTGAAACGTCAAAAAACGCAGTATGAGAGTTTTTTTTTCGTCTTTGGTATTTCTTACGTCGTGTGAAAATTCCATTCAAACGGGAGCAGTACTTTCCAGGTTATTGGCGGGCCAAGGATTTGCGGACAGACCGACAAACAGGCAGACCAACCGGCAGACCGTCGGAAATAAGCGAGATGGTTTTCGTGAGGTACATATAACATCCAAAAAACATAATATTACTTTCGATTCTCCGCCAATAGGCGTGGGAAGTAAAAACGAATATTCATCAAATAACGCCATGTTGAGGTGTCTTTACCATCACCTTTCTATCAAATCTGTATTTTTCCCATCTACGTTTAACAGCTTTCCCCCACCGCAGAAGCGCTGCCTAGCGGGAGCAAAATCGGACATCGCAGCCATTAAGATAGGTCCCAACCGCAGATTTCCCAACGTTGAATTCACATCGTGTTCTGAATATACGCACCTGCCAAATTGATGAAACGGGGCTTTTTCAAGCTCACAAGTACGCAGGGTTTTTGAAAATATGTATATCTATAGGAATTCTCAATAAAATTACCGTCACCTACTCACGACTATGTAGGCAAAGTTTCTAATTCTTCCGTTATTATAAGCGAAGAAGACTTGAAACATTTAAATAATTCTGAATGTTAAATTAGTATACGACCTTCGAAAAATAATGGAGCCGATACTCCGAATTTTAGCTAGAAAATATGTCGCTAGGATCTTTGTTTCAGATTGACATTTTTATGCAGCAAGCATGTTTTTGTTCAGTACACAGTTAAGCGAGGGTTTCTAAAAACCTTGAGGTAATATACATTTCCGCCACATTATCGTATTCGCAAAATCTACTTTTCCACCGTCAATGCAAGATCGTTACAGATCTATGAGCAAAATAGTTTTTCGGAAAGTGAAACCGGTCGGCAATTCCTTATCGCCTGATCAGCAGTTTTACCAAATCAAGTGGGGAATCTCAAGAATATCATGCCAACCGCTTTCATAGCCATTATTGTCCAAGGCGTCTGCAGAAATTATGTAAGAATCTAGTGAATTGCCTTACATGTTGAATATCTCTAGAACACTCATGTGCGGTCTCGTGATTGCAAGTCAAAATGGGAACGAATGTGTTGTTTGTTGTTCTGCTTAGTGCCGTAATTGTACGTTGTCAGATTGACTTGGGTAAGTTTCGCTACTCCTCATTCTATAACAAAAAGAAACTGCCTATGGACAAAGCATTCAGACAGCATGTTCGTTGATCAAAAATCAGCACTGCTCTCGAAGCAGTATGTGTCGCTGCAGCCACCAACTGTCACGTCACCTACCTGATTCTATTTTCAAAGACTGGCTATTATACCAGGTCTTTCAAATTCAACTCAGGAACGGTAAAAAATACGAAGTAGATTACTAAAAAATGGACCATAGAAACGAAAACGAAGAAAAGTTTTTCCAAAATAGCCTTTATTTCTTACTGGCTTTATTTGAGTTGAGATTTCAAAATGAAAAGTACACCGACGGCGACGTTATCACTGTTTCTCCTTTACAAGATGATTAGAATTTTAATATGATGTTTGATCTCTTGTCCTCACCCACTAACTTTATTTTTTCCTATAGATGACATATTGGATTTTTGCATGGTTGAATGAGATTAATTCTGATTCTAAAAATAAAAAACTAATATTGTCATAGTTGGCTTTGAAAATGACATGTTCATCAAATATTTATCCGATTATAACAAACGTTATTTTACCACGATGGAGGCACTCTACATGAGACCTCAGCCGTAGATCAATAGTATTTGAATGTGTGCATCAGTTTAGATATGACGGATACTTATTCCTAAATGTTTTTTTTATATGAAATTCATGCAATACTACCTTTAAATAATATGAAAAAGTTTTAGCATCAGGCTGTTCTTTATTCGACGAGTTAAGAGTTAACTATAGGAAGATTACTTTTACAGATATTTTAAGTTTAAAATCGAAAACACGGCCTAATTCATATGTTATTATGAAACAAATGACTACGTGATAATTTTAAGGCCTATTTAGTAAATTATGTTTTTCTTTTTGTATTAACTAAGATTTGGCATTGTCAATGGATGTCATGACACACTTTTGGAATCACAATTAAAAACTTTATTCAACTGTGCAAAAATCCAATATGACGTCTATAAGAAGATGTACGTTTTATTATGAAATCCCATCTCAAAGTCAGTAAAAGTAGAACAATTATGAGAAAATTCTGTTTCTTTCGTCTATCTCCGGAAATATTCGGAATTGAAAAACTTTGTCTTAGTTACCTAAATAAGCAACTTTGCCCCCATTCAAGCGGCTTCGTATCTCTTAACTGTCTCCGAGATCCCAATGGTAAGATTCTATTTTGAGACACCTTGTATATGTAACTAATTTATTTTCTCCAATCTTTGAAATGGAACGAGATATTTTTTCACATTAATATTAGCGTCTTTTTGGTCTTAAAATTCGATGAGGATGAAACAGTTAGAGACATGATTAATGTTTTGCGAAGAATAATTTAATGGACATTAAACTCGCCATTAGACGTTGTTATGTGACTCCCAAGATTGCCAGATTGAATGGCCCCACACGTCTTTCTATGTAGATTATTAAGAACTAAAGTTTATGTCATTCTAAAGCGGGCATTTATGTGATACTATTTTTCATAGATAACTCCCAGAGTATTAATAAAGTCAGGATATGAAACTGGGCATATGTCAATTTACACAAAGGATATTGGCAATGCAAATCAGTCAGATGTACTGTGTTTTTCCAAAAGCTCCCTTAACTAACCTTTCTATAGATTCTGGGATGTACCAGCCCATTTTCCAGTAGTTTGAGGTGGTTATTCAGAAAGTCAGAAAAAATAAAGTTTCTTCAAGACTCTTGTATAGTATAGTGATGAAGATTGGTATAATTTCTTCCGAAATAATTATATAACGTTGTTATAACTGTATATGTAACACTAATGCAAATAAATTTATGTTAATGAGATGGCCATGGTTATAATAGGGAAAGTGGATATTTGACTCGACGATTCAGAGAAAGAAAGCAACGAACTGTGCAGAAAAATATGAAATGATTATGTTATTTAATAATTCAATAGCTCGCTTTATGTTCTTTTATTCTTTGAAATTGATGAAAGAGTTGAAAGGCTGAAGTTAGGCGTCCCATCTAATTTTTGAAAATAAATATCGTTCATTGGAATTACTATAAAATGAATAAATGCAAACGGGCCTCATACATATTTTTTAATTGTTTTAGTTGAGAATCTATTGTCAAGATAGATACGGAGTATTAATTCACGTATATATTATTTGACAGAAAATAATCATAAAAGCAGTTGTAAATTGGAGCCCTCTAAGATAAAAATGTTATTATCGATTGTAGAATTCACCAAAGAATTATGTGATTTGTTGAGTGTTGAAGTGCTCAATTATATTACTATATCTACATTTTATAACTAGGTTTTGAGAGCGTTTTGACCCCAACGGGAGAAAAAATAAAATGTTTACAACTATTGTTGATTAATGTATTCAATTTTATGTGAATCACCTTTCTCAAAAATAATTAAGTTTAAATATTTGAGCTAAAATCCGTATAAAAATATTCAACCCAATCTACTTTGGAAATACGCTAAGGTTAGTGAAGTTTCACATTGAAAATTTCATTTATGGCATTAGAAGAGCAATCCTATATCATCATAGTCATGTTTTGTACTCATTCAGTGGTGTATAAATTTGCAGAACCCTGTATTTTGTTGACGGGGCATTTTAGAACATACGTCTGTAGAAACCTTTTGTTATCATATGTATTTTTTACCATAGAAATATTGTCATGTCTTTCTGAATCATTGTATATAAAATATGGCATGTGTTCGACCTAGAAACAGAATATTCTATAAAATGAAAATATATTCTCACATAGATGAATATCATTAAAAAGTATACCTACTTCGAAAATGCATAAAGTGTTTTATACCTATTTTCTTAGACACCGCACATTCAGTGAAATTAGATGTGTTACACCCAGAAAACATGATTTTTTCAACTTGATTTTTTGGCAATGAGGTCGTGTTACATCAAGAATGAAAAGATAGTATCCTCACGAAACTTTATTGACAAGTAATAAGAAAAAAAATTTAATAAAGTGTTGGGCGACACCGCAGCAGAATACACTCCTGTACCTATGAACCTATACGTCTAGGCATCGATAAAATGAGACGATCGATTTTTTGTTGTGGCACCTGATTCTAAGCAACTCAAACTTCGTGGATTAGCTATGGCAGAGTCTGTGCGGATGGTGCAACGTGGATGGGGTGGGAGTAACACTTCTAATGTCATACACACATCATCACAAGTGTTGGACCCCTTGTATAAATCCGTCTAGAGGTACGTTATCTACATTCTGTTTGTGAACAAAAAAAATCTATATCTATATTTAGCAAGCAAAAACGCAAAAAACCGTTGAGATAAAAATGTGTTTGGATTTTTATAGAAATAAGTCAGTTTAACGGTAGTGTTTGAGCAAAAGGTATTAAAATAAAATTTTATACTGTAACTTTTAAAATGCTGCGAGCTGAAATTTCTGGTTTTGATAGAACATGAATAGTAGCCCTCTTCCAAGCTGGATTTTCAAATCACCGAATAGCACTGGATTTGAGTATCCCAAGAAAGTTCGGTTATTCGAACAATTCAAAGATTCCAAGAAACTGGCTCAGTTGAAAATCGGCCACGCATTGGGCGTCCTCGAGTAACAGATGATAGGGAGAAGCGTTACATTGCTCTATTTGCCCGAAGGAATAGATTTTCAACAAGTACAGCTATCAGAGCGCATATTCAACATCGAAGAGTTATTTCCACTTCTACCATCAGAAGAAGATTGCGAATGGCAAATTTGCAACCTAGAAGACCTTTAAGGGTTCCACGTCTCACTCGTAGACAAATTGCTGCTCGTCTCCAGTGGGCTAGAGAACATTAGGAGTGGCTTTTACCAGAGTGGCGAAATGTGGTATTTACAGATGAGGTTAGGTTTGGAGTGGTGAGTGACGACCATAGAATAAGGGTTTGGAGAGAACCAGGACATCAACAGCGACTAAATTTGGCCAGAGAAGTTTTCCCATATCAGGGCGGATCAATACTGTTTTGGGGAGGCATAATGTTTAACCACCGGAGTCCTTTAATTCAGATCCAGGGGACAATGACTGCAGAAATTTATGAAGAAAATGTCATACAACCCATTATTCAACCTTTGCTAAATGAATTAGGTAACAAGTTAATTTTTGTGGATGATAATGCAAGGTCACATAGAGCTAGAAGGGTCCAGCGGGCTCTAGAAAGGGGCCAAATAGTGAGATTGCCGTGGCCTGCCAACAGCCCAGACACGAACCCCATTGAAAACATTTGGGACACTAGCTCGAGTCTTACGGAACAGAATAGATCCACCTACAACCCTAAATGAGCTGGCTGCAGCAGTAAATGAAGAGTGGAATAATTTACCCCAAGAAAACATTAACCACCGAATAATAGGAATGCCAATGCATGTTAACGCACTGCTAAGATCTAGAGGACACCGAACTGGTTATTAATTATGTTTTATTTTTCTTTAGAATAACTATTTTTCTTTAATTTTGATTTTTAAAAATTAAATCTTTGGTACCTTACTTGTTCAACTTTCTTTTTCTTTTCATAATAATGAAATTAATTTAACGTTTTGTTAAATAAATATAGTAAAAATATCCCCAATTTAAAATATATCAAAGATTGAAATTAGAAGGCTATAGTTTCCCAGTACGCCAGGGGTCCAACACTTTTGATGATGTGTGTAGTATATTTTGTGAATAGACGGTTTCCAGTCTGTGCCAGCATTGATGTCTCCTTCAAGAATACGCACCTACCTTCTCAGAAAATATAGAAATTATACTATCGTTGAGAAATATTCTAACTAAGTTTCGACCCTTGAAATGATACGTCACGGTAAATTTGATATTGCTATTAGGGTTTCGATATAGAAATCAGGTCTAAAAATTGTCACAGCGAACAATATACAGGGTTAGTAGAAAAAACCGGAATGGTGGATTATCTCAGCAACCGTCACATATAAATGCACTGAATTTTGTAACTCAACATGAAGAATTCAAAAAGTATATTTGCAAGGTTGCCAAGTTTATAGTTTTCTCTCTAGGTTATCGAAATTTAAAATTTTAAATGGAATACCCTAATTTTTATTATTTTAATCAATCGCCTGTGTCAACTTTTATGACCTGATATTATCGATTTTTTACTCCTGTCAATTTCGGAGATATGGCGTCACGCTTTGTTTCATTCCTTACACTTGCATCTTAGTAATAAATCATCCGTTTGTTTGTTTTCCAAAATAAACAAGAAGGCGTGTCATTCATTTTCAAAAGTGACAAATGTTGCGGGCGTTATTATGGCATTTGTACTTAACTAAAAACAGCGAATTGGAATTCTTATTTTTTGAGGATATGAAGTGTGCAATTTGTTCAATGCGCTCCATCCCGAAATACAAATTAAAAAATCGACCATCTGCAGGACAGTAAGAAACCGGCGGAGTGGAAAGAAAACCGGGATCAGGGAGACCGAAAACTGCTACTAGTGATAAGAATAAGTTAAATGTTCTTTTACAACTCGAAGAGAAACCTAGGACAAGTAGGTACCACACAATTAGCCCTTAATTCGCGAATAAGTCAGAAATCGGTCAGAAGTATCGTAGCCGATGAAAAACTCAAACCTTACAAAATAATTTACCTCCACCAACTGCAAGAAGATGATGCAGACCTCAGTTTGCAAAAACTATGATGGAAATGATAAACAATAACCCCAATTTGAAGTTACTTTCTGTTTAAATGGACAAGTGAATGAGCACAACTGCAGATTCTGGAGTGGAGGAAATCCTCACTGGATATCGAAACTTCACACTCAATACCCGGAAAACGTTAATGTTTGGGCGGGAATTTTGGGCGACCATGCTATTGGTCCATTTTTCATAGATAGCAATTTGATGGAACAAAAATGTCTGGATCTCATACCACGCATAATACCCGAAATTAAAATATGGACGAAATTTGGTACCAGCATGATGGAGCTCCAGCTCATTTATCCAGAGGGGTCATCGAGTTTTTAAATAACCAATTTCCAGGAAGATTAATTGGAAAACGTGGCACTATGGAATGGCCACCTCGCTCCCCAGCTATAACTCCACTATATTTCGTCTTTTGGGATTTGCTGAAGTGCGGAGCTTATAAAGATCGGCCCAACGATTTGTTGTTTTATAAAGTATCCTCCCGACAAGTATTTCAGTGCGGACCTGTATTTGATCGTGAGGTCTTGGAGCATCGGCATGCAGTCCCCTGTGAGGTCTTCAGTCACCTGATTCACGAGCCCGTTGTACTATATTAACAAAGGCACGAGGGGTTGGTTGCACTCGATTGGGAAACCGATCCGCATAAATATGTGCCATTTTTTATTTCGTTTGAGCCACGCAGCAAACACCACTATTCACTCACGCGTTACCGACTGACACAGACTGAATAAAAACATCGTGATCAGCATTCCAAATTCTTTCGCTTTTTTGTTTCCAATGCGATGAACCGATAAGGCGGAGTATATCCGTTGTCGCCAAACACGAGCACATAATATTATTATTGAGACAGGGCGGTACTCAAACTTCTAAAGGGCTATAACTTTGTTACTTTAATTTTACCACAAAAATGTTAAAGGAAAAAAACATTTCTTCTGATCAGATCTACTCACTGTTAAAATAAATGACTCAACTTCGAAGTCACCCTGTATATATATATATAGACAATGAATCAGAAAATAATAACAAAAAAAAAAGAAAAAATCATCAGTGATCTGAATGAACACATAATATTTTATTCTTCAATTTTTTTGGTGCCTGTATGATATCATGTTCACTGATATGATTTAATAATATGTGACAATTTTCTGAAGCGATATTTCTAAAAGTCGACGGATCTGAGGTAGAGAACGCACACGAAAAATATTGTAAATAATAAAATAAACAATAGCTTGAGGGGTATCAAAAACGTTGCCTTCAAAAGACATAGAACCTGGTATTCTAGACTGATTATTCTTTGAATTTAAAAATGATCAAAACTTACCCGGATCATGAGGAATTGAGTCTTCAGCCTTCTTGGTGTAAGCAGCATAAGCAATTTCTATTTGAGCCGTGATGTTACTACGTAGCTGCTTGAATTTATTTTCGAAATGAATGAGTCCTGTTTGCTTAAAACAGTTTCTGGTCCTATCCTTCTCCTTTTATTTCAGTCGTGAACCATAAAGGGTAACGACGCTTGGGCCTTTGAATATACAAATTAAAAAGTTCATTCAATATTGAATATAAGTATGAGCAAGCATTCTCTTTTTAATATTGTTATTATTTTGCACTAATATTTACTTCTTTGATAATTAAATTTCCTTGTTCCCTTTCCTTGACTTTTTTTTAAATAGAATCTTGGAATCACCGCAAATGCAATTCATGAATGTAGAATGTCCAGTTACTCCCCTGTACTATTTTTGACGAATTTCGGTTAGATCGTCGATATAATTGACCATACCTTGTCGTTTTTGTATTCATTTCGAAAGAAGTATGATGCCATATTTCCGAAATTGACAGGAGTAAAAAACGATAATATCAGGTCATAATAAAGTTGATACAGGCAATTATAAAAATTAGGGTATTCCATTTAAAATTTTAAAATTCAGTAGCCTAGAGAGAAAACTATAAACTTGGCAACCTTGGAAATATAATTTTTGAATTCTTCATATTGAGTTACCCCTTCGCACAAAATCTGGTTTATTTATATTTGACGGCTGAGATAATCCACCGTTCCTGTTTTTTCTACTAACATACTAACCCTGTTATATATACATAACATAATGACAAGGCGACATGAATTTCGAAGGTCGAGATTCAGATAGAATCGGGCCCCTGAAGATAGAGTAAACCCGACTCAAATTTTGAGTTCTATGAATTAATCTACTTATAGATCGTTGGGAAGCAAAAATCACGAGTAAAATGGTGATAAGTCCAAGGTTACCAGATTTAAGGTGAAAAATAAATGAGGTTTCATTATAAGGATACATTTCCAGGATGTTATTTAAATTTTAAACGGTACTTTTGTTACAACAGCCATATTAGTCTTGACATTGATTGATCATAAATGATATAATCAATTGTTATAGCTAATTACAAATTACTGTCTATTTTACCTTTTGTTTTTCAAGCTCCACCGACGTTTTACTCTAGATATTGATAGTTCAGAAACCACAAAATATTACATGAAAAACAAAGTGACAATGACCATCAAGTAAAAAAAGTTCAAGCAATTTTTCGAACTGAAAATTTCTGAATATATAAAATGTACTGGGCAAAACAGTGCTTTTGAAGAATTCACTGAACCATAAAGAAATGCATCATATCCAGAACATTAGAAGGACTGGCGTTTTCATTAACAATCGCATTTTTTATAGCACAACATTTTCAACATTGTAAAGTCGGCACAGCAAACTTTGACGATTGCGTTAAAGATGCTATGAACGAACTAAGACCGTTCTTCAAAGAAGGTGAGTTTGTAACTTGTTTTCAATTGCTATTTTAATCATATTTTCAATTTTCAGGCATTCCAGATTATGGTATCGGTTCTTTTGATCCCTTTCACGCAGCAGTGGTCCCACAAAAAGTGAACAACCCGATTTTTAGTTACAAGTTGTACCTGAGGAACGTTTCTGAACATGGTTGGACATCTTCACAAGTGACGAAGCTCAAGTACGTATATGGGGTGTTCGAATTACACAGCTCAACAAAATGAAAAAACCTAGTGCCAAAGAAGTAACAAGTGACTCAAATATATCTAATGTGTGAAAGGTTTCTAAAATGTTTTTCATTTTTCCGTATCAGTTCTGGTTTTCGAGATATAAGCGATATAAGATTTGTTAAAATGCAAAATGTGCCATTTTAGATCTTGAAAAACAATATAAAAAAACAAACATTTTAATTTTGACAAATTTTCTTCAAAAATCATTAATAATATCCCAAAGCATTTTAGGGGTAATGGCATCGTAAACCTTTTTTTAATTACAGCAGACGCTCGATAACGTAAACACGGGATAATGAAAACTTGCGCTAATGTAAACACAAACTTCGTTCTACAGGATCAAACGGAACGCTCGATAACGTAAACAACTCTCGGCGCACGGAAACAGCGCGACGGTAAAATGCTGAAACCTCGATGATTTATGTCGGGCGTCGGGGAGTCCCCGATATATGATGTAGAGTGTAGGGGATTCAAAATCGGTCAGTCGTATGATCGTTTAGGATACGTGTATACCTACGTATGTATTTCATTTTTGCACTCAAGTGAATACATTGCACGCGTTAATATATTTTACTTCTATGGCATCCACAACATATAAAAGAAAGTGTTTAAAGTTGAGTGAGAAAGTGAAAACCATAGACGAAGTTGCACTAGGTGCGGGAGTGATACAGTTAGCAAAAAAATATGGAGTATCGAAAGCAACAATCTGTAAAATTAAGCGTATGAAAACTCAAATTTTACAAAGAACGTGCAATACATTTGGAGGTCCGGGAAAAATAAAAACTTTAAAAAATGCGAAGGCACCTAAAATGGAAAATTCCCTGTATAAGTGGTTTTTAAAACAACGGGAAAATCATGTCCCAGTTGGTGGCGAAGTACTTAAACAGAGAGCAAGACTGTTAAATGAAAAACTGAAAGAAACTAAAAATTTCGTAGCTAGTGATGACTGGCTACGACGATTCAAAACAAGATATGGAATTCGACTGCTGTCTATATCTGGTGAAAAATTATCAGCACAACCACAATTAGTGCAACCATTCAAAGAAAAATTGATGAAAACAATTACCGAGCTAGATTTAAGAATGGAACAAATTTACAACGCAGATGAAAGTGGCCTTTATTGGAAAATGTTACCAGAGAAAACCTATGCTGCATCATTTGAAAAATCTGCCCCGGGAAGGAAGCCGGAGAAACAACGAATAACGTTTTTAGCCTGCACTAATGCTAATGGTTCACACAAAATAAAGCCACTGGTAATTGGGAAAGCAAAAAATCCGTGCTCATTTAAAAATGTTAATATCCCTGTTCATTATGACTGTTCAAAAACCGCTTGGATGACTAGCAGTATATTCCTGAAATGGTTCCACAGGTGCTTTGTCCCTCAGGTATGACAATCAATTATTACAAATGCTCTATTCATAATTTGAAGATGTGTTTTCAATTTGTAGGTAAAAGGTTTCCCAAAACAACAGAAGCTTCCAATAAAAGCGTTGTTACTATTGGATAATGCACCAAGTCATCCTCCCGAGCAACAACTGAGGAGCAGGGATGGATCAATTTTCGTCATGTACATGCCGCCCAACGTAACACCGTTAATTCAACCGATGGACCAGAATATAATAAGACTCACCAAACTAAACTATAGGAAGTTTCTACTTTCGTCTGTCTTATCAAAGAATCCTGAAAACTTATCTGAGGCTTTAAAAAAGTAACATTACGAGAAGCTGTTTTAGATTTACATATGGCCTGGAATGAACTTAACCAGCAAACTATTCAAAAATGTTGGAACAATCTCTTTTGTACCAATATTGAAGATGATGAAGAGGACGATGTCCCCTTAAGCGTAATTAGAGAACGTTTGCGATCCAATAATGATAATGTTATTAGTGTGTCATTGGATGTTGTTGATTTATTGAAAACAGTGAATCCCAGCATTGTTTGTTCTCCTGCTGATATTAATTTATGGAACGAAGATAAGCAGACGAATGATGCTGATAAGGAGGAAGATATGAACAATGAGGATGATGAGAACGATCCAATTGAAGTCAGAAGTGTAGTGACTGACGCGCAAGCTATACAAGTTTTTAACCAAGCTTTAGATTGGGCTGAAAGAAAAGAAGATACATACACGGATATTTTAGTTCTTAGTAAATTACGGGCGCAGGCATTGGAAGACAATGCTAAGCGCAAATTTACGCAGACAAGAATTGTTAATTATTTTTCTTCTAATTAAAAAAATACTTATCGATGTTAGAATATTTGTTTATTTTGTTATAAATAGTATGTATTAAACGTTTCTTTTAATAAATCAAATATTATATAAATCACGTTCGCTAATGTAAACATTTCGATAATGTGAACCACACTTGGATTAAATTAGTTTACATTATCGAGCGTCTGCTGTACTTATAATTGGCTTATTATGTCAATGATTTATATTTTTTTATTATTTTGTGGGTCTGTATGCAGGTGGAATAGTTATGTTAGATAATGGCATAATAAAGGGGTGTATCTTTTGATCCATGTTCTGGATGCCAGAGAGGTCTCGCGCAATTAAGTTTCTTACTTCAGCTATCCTGATCACTACTTCCAGCTTGTATCGTATGAGGTTACCTCTCAAAACGGTTATTCAGATAATTGTGAATCTCGATACACTTTAGCAATACGCTGCTCCGCCGTTCATCCTTGGAAATGCTAGAGTTTTTTGACAGGGGAAAGCTTTTATAGACACTCTCTGCCAGAAAATCTCGACAGTATAACCCTCCCGGCCCTTCCTGTCCGAAGTGTGAGATTCTCCAGAAATGGCATACTCACTAAAACTCATCAGTCGTTCGGTAAACATTCTACCACGGTAATGCTTGCAGCATTTCTTTATAGTGGGTAGCGTTGGGCTAGGTTTTCACACCGAAGGTATTAGTCATCTATTCTCTATCCACATACGAATACGTTCATTTATACCTATGTGCATGTACAATCGAGCATAACAGAAACCTACTATTGATTTCCTGATCCATGTTTGTTCTCCCGTACCTTACTCAGCATCTTTAGCCTCACTATTGGTTGATTATCAACCCATTTTCCTTCGCGTATATGCGTGGCAAAATTGTCATTTTTCTCATGCCATCTGAAAAGTACCTCTATTTGGTCGCTTGTAGCTTTGACGCTCTTTTTATAGAGTGCACATCTCTCCTCAGCCAGAAAATCAATTAGCGGGATACCAGCTACCGCAGCCGTGCATCGATCGACACCATTCTGTAACCGCTTATCACGCGTAGCATTACTTTTCTTTGGGATCTCGATTTTAGTCTCTATTTATTTTTCCTAAAGGCGAAAATCCTGCACCTCTCACTACTGGGGCCTCCGTCAGATGGCATTAGCCGTATCAGAGATGCAACGACCTTATTTACCTTGTCAGTATTGCGCCTTATGCGCTCAATTATTTTCAGTTCTTTATCAAGCCACACACCCAGATACATAATTGCAATTTAGCTCCGAATCTCATTATCAACTTTAACACCTGATGAAATTAGCTTATGTGCTGCCAGAAAGTATAACTAAATACTTCCGTTTTCTCAGTAGCTAATTTCGAACCATTTTCTTCCATCCATATAAAGGGTTTTCCATTAAGGACTTGACAACTTTCGTTTTAAATAAAACGCAAACCATTTGAGATATCTCGAAAATTTTATTATTGGATTGAAGTATACTCAAAACATTTATGTATGGAATTCGACGTCGTTCATATACAGGGTGGCGCATCATCATTTCTTGCAACGTTTCTAAAGAACAATTCGAGAGCGTTCGTCAGTTCATATCATCGAAGGGCATTAGTTCTTGAGTTAACTTGATCTTATAAGGGTGCGGGCCAAGATCTCCTCGCAAAATTAGCCATAGTGTGGTCTGAGCGATGCCTAATTCTTGAGAACGCCGTGGAATTGACGTGTTCTGTTCGTTTGAGACGAAAGCTTGAACGGCACTTCGACCAACCTGTTCTCTCACTGGCACGGGAACATCCAGCAGCGAATATATGGACTCAATTTTTGTTCATTCGTGTACTTCCCCATGATGAAAGTATTTTCTTTACTGAATATTTTGACACTGACAGTTCGGTAATTGATTTAAAGGTGCATTCACAGTGAAAGTTCAAAGTTGTCAAGTACCTATTGGAAAACCCGATAGTAATTATCGTGATTCCTTATGCCAAGAGTCCTTCAAGTGTACTTCTCTCCTTCCTAGTCACTAATATCGTCGTTCGCATACCCTATAGGTAAATTTCCGGCAGCATCTGTAACCGAAGAACCCCATCGTAGAACACGTTCCAAAGCAACGGGCCTAGGACGGAGCCCTGTGGTGCTCCCATGGTTATCTTCATCGTCTTTATCATGTTCAATTGATAGCTAGAACTATAGCGGGGGTCCAGACATCGGATACATCGTTAAGCTGGTTAAACCAAACATAACACCAAAATATCATAATAACGAGTCTTGCGCCTCAAAGCATCTAACAGCTAGATCTCTTGTATAATGTTGTATAAGGATAACACCAAATGGTTGGAGATACAAGACACGACGATAAATAAATTATATCTGTATAGAAATGCATAGTTCATATTTGTACAATGTGAGATAAAAAATATGCAGCATTTTGTATTTACTTAAAATAGTTCCTTTTTTTCAGTATTGTTTTGCTTCCTGCATAAACAAATGTCCTATCCTGAATATACGTGATTTCTGGTGAATTTGCGTAAAACCTCAAGTCTTACGTGAAGTGGTAATAATGTCTTCTCGCTTTTACACAAAGTTACTTTCATTATATCGATAACATAATCAACTCCAGAGCTAATATTTTTACTCATACACTGTATAATTTAAATAGCAGGAAGCATGTTTGTATGACATTTTTTCTCATTTCCAGGACAGATTTCCACAGAAATCAAATCCAAGTCACCCAATTTTTCCCAGATAAAAGACTGAATGGGTGGTACGACTTTGAAGGTAGCATTCTAGGACAAAAAGTACGCAATTCGGGATCATGGAACTTATCCCTTTTTGATTATGTTCAAACGTTGACTGTTGCAAGACCCGCCATGGATTCATCATCATCAATCAGAGTGAAGTGCAGTATACAGTCTTGCAAGAAATTAGAACTCCATATTGGCAATTTGGTTGGGGGACGAACCATATTAGGTGAGTATATTTAAGAAGAGTACTTCTCACAGATACGTCACACAGAAACAAGGAAGAAAATTCGTCGAAAGCTGATCTCTAAGTAGGCGCAAACTTTCATCCTATGGCCAGAGAAGCTTTGCACATGGGTGGTGGACTTCCTTTCTAACCACAAGATACCCGTCGGAATTGACGGGTTCTCCTCTCCATTCCACAATGTCAATGCGGGTGTTCCCCAGGGATCGGTCTTGGCTCCGACATTGTTCCTCTTACATATCAACGACTCCTTTACTGTACGATCAATTCGCTCTACAACTTTGCTGATGGCAGCACTCTACATGCAGGACTTCAGAGTGACAAGCCGATATTTGGCAGTGAGCTGGACAAAAGAAGACTAGCAGCGACTTCCTCTCTGATGGGAGACCTAGAGGTTATTTCTGCTTTGGGATGCAACAATTTGGTACAGTTTAATTCTTCCAAAACACACTGCTGTACCTTGACTAACAAGAAGCGCCCTAGCGCACATCTCATCAATAGCGGCAGCGGCTACGAAAAACCTAGGTTATTTGCTTAGGGCTAAGAGGTAGTTTTCTTCACACAACCTTCTCACCCTGTACAAGGCCCAAATAAGACCTCAAGTACTGCTCACATGATTGTTGTGTTGCCACCCCGACTACATTATTCATGCTCGATGCTATTCAGACGTGGGCTGTTTGACTGATCGATGACTCCTCTTCTCTAACGGACAGTCTCGGGATGATTTCGCACCATCGAACCATCGGAGATCTAGCTCTAGTTTCTTCAAGCTCCTCATAGCAATCACGGTACACATCTGCCTACGCGGCAGTTTCGCTATAAAAAAAGTAGAAGGTCCTTCGAATTTGTTCAAAGTACTTTTGGTGCATTGGTGTTCTATATAGAACTATCTCAGAACCGTTCTGATTCTGTGCAGTGATTGGCTGCTGGCAGTACCCGGTACTTATATGCAATAGTGCCAACGTTGCAATACAATTTGACAATTACACATGATCTTATTAAATTTGGGATTTTGAACAGGTATTTCAACTAAGCAAAATATCCTAATATGTGACATATAACCCTACTAAGCGGGGCCGTGGCAATGCTTGTTCCGGAAGTTGGTGTATTCAGTATACAATTTCGTACCATTCAAGTGATTATACACGTGTTAAGGAATACCTCAGTACCGATTGCCAGGTGGCGGTGCAAGTCCGAGAAAGGGACACTTTAGGTCTATTTAACATCATTAACACGCAAAGGAAGGTGGTAGACAATGACCAGTCGACCGAGGAGGTACCACCCGCTAGCTTTTCCCAGGGCGTCTTATAAATGACCACATGTTTCCACACCTAAGCTACGCAGTCGGTTATATTCCCCAACAAAGAAATTGATAATGATGGGTCCTTCGAATACTAACACTTCCGGCTCACTCCACTATCGGAATGCCCGGGTGGAGGGTGGACTTGAGGGAACAACATCGAAGATAAAATTTGTTTCCCGAGCATCTGCGGAATTAACAGCAACATTGATGCTGTTCATCACTACTTGCAATCGAATCGTCCCGCCATGATTTTCATGGTGGAAACAAAAATCTCAGAGTCTGCACCGATTAACCATATTAGCTTTCCAAATTACGAGGTAAACTCCAATCTGAGAAAGAATGGGGGAGTTGTGGCTTTTGTCCGCAGCAGTCTTTCCTGCTCCAGAGACGTTTCTTTGCGATCAGACCGGAAGGACATTCTTTGGCTTCGCCTCAACTCCAAAACATCACCCAAATTTATTTGCTGCCTTTAGCGTTCTCCCTCAGACCCTAACTGGGATGACCTACTTGCATACCTCGCCGTCAAGACCGAGTTCCTGAACATCAATCACCCCGCTTCAGAGATAGTTCTCCTCGGTGATTTCAATGCCCATAATGAGCTTTGGTTGGGCTCAAACAAGACCGATGCAGCAGGTCGTGCAGTTGAAGCGTTCGGTCTTACTCAAGGGCCGACCTCGCTGATGACGAGCACTTCTTTTTCCCCCGTGTCTCGTCACGTGCCAGTAGCCTGCTGGGTCTCTTTCTGACCACGCATCCTGTCCCTTACAACATTGCTGTCCTGGTCCTGTCCTCCCTGGATAACTCAGACTACGGAGCTGTGGTCGTTGGGTTTCGGTCAGAACCCGCTGTGGCACCAGAAACTCGCCCAGGCCGCAGAATTTGGCATTACGGTCATGCCGACTGGGAGGGGCTCAGAGGCTTTTTCTTTCCTTGGTGAGATGTTTGTTTTTCTGACGCGGATAATCGAAATAATCCACTTTGGGATGGAGGAATACATCCCTCCTACAGTGAAAGTGCCGAAACCAGGCTCCAACGGCTGGTTCAGCAAATCGTGTGACACTGCTCGCCAGCAGAAGATCAAGGCACACAGAGCCTTCTTACAAAATCCTACTGTAGAGAACCGTCAAGCCGACGTCGAGTCCAGAAAAAAATATAACGAAGCGGTTAGCAGTGCCAAATATCACTTACGTGTCAGGATCGAACGATTGTAACCGACTTAAAGGCCAAGTCGAAAGTGCCTGCCAAGATCTTTGCAGCCAACTCCACCGTAAGACGGATGCTCTTGTCGCTCGACATCAACAAAGCTTCTGGTCCGGACTTGATTCCTGCCGTTGTGCTGAAGAAGTGTGCAACGGAGCTTGCTCCAGTTCTCTCGCGTCTCTTCCAGATATCTTATGAATCCGGCACCTTACCAGAAAACTGTAAATTTGCTCACATCCAACCAATGCCAAAAAAAAATCTAAGACTGACCCTTACAACGCCAGGCCTATAGCTCTGCTTTCTGTTATAAGCAAGATGATGGAGAGGTGCATAAATCACGAGCTTCTGAAGGACCCCGAACGTCAGGGCTTGATGAGCTGGAAAAAAGAAGACTAGCGGTGACTTCCTCTCTGACAAGAGACCTGGAGGTTATCACTGCTTGGGGACGCAACAATCTTGTACAGTTTAATGCTTCCAAAACACAGTACTGTACCTTGACCAACCAAAAGCTCCCTATCGCTCATCCAGTTTCGATGGTTGACGGAGTTCGGCCAAAGAGCCATGCATTTCGGCTGGTCGGAGTTCAGATCATGAACACATCTCATCAATAGCGGCAGCTGCTACAAAAAACTAGCAGCCGCGGTGTCCCGGCATTTAGGCTTCTACCTGCGCGGCTGCTTCGGTGTAAAAAAGTCTTAAGGTAACAGCGGCTCAAAAAAAATCTCACTCGCCGTGTAGGTAGCCCGAATTGTTTGTTTATAAGTCGGATTTTAAAAAAATCGCAATTCCAATAAAGGGAAGAAGTTAACTGTAACAGGCTAACCTAATGTGGAGAGCTAGTTTACTGTAAAAAGTTTGGAAAAGCGGCGTTTTGAGATCTACTTACCTAGACAGTATTCTCGGTCAGACGCAAAGCTTGAGTTCTGGGTGTAGCGGTGCTGTCGAAGCTTAGCAAAAATTCTGCGGAAATGCGAAGTTACGGATCCAAGCGATCTGTAACTTGAAGAGTTGCTTTTTGTGAAAAAAAATTAATTATTTAGTGAACTTGTTTTTGAATAGTACTTCAAATTTCTTATCAATGCTTAGTTTGCCCGTACATTAGCTTTGTCAATTCAGAAGTACTCGTAATTGTTTCTGAAAAGGAGACGTGCAAACTTTCGTAACTGCTTGATATGGCGTGGACAAATTTCGGTGATTCCTCGACAGCTTGCATGTACTCAATATTTTACCTTTTGCAGAAAATACGTTAGATTGGATAATCAACACAGCCTGGCAACCTGGATTCGTCGTTCTTAGTCCGTTGATCAACGATCTGGTAGGAACAGCATTCACCAAGATATTCGATGATTATTTCAACAGTTTTCCATTTGAACAGGTATTCCGGTAACAAATAATAAATCAGAGTCATCAATAACATTCTAAAATCGTGATAGGTATACGATTTTCAAAATTTTTGCGATTTTTATGAGATCTGTAAATTAAGTGATGAGACTGATTTTTTTATTCAAATATAATTACAATTTTAAATTGTCACCCTCAAAATAACTTCCTTCTGAAGCCACTCAGCGCTGAAGATGGTTCTTCCACTCCTGATAGCAGTGCTGGAACTCCGATACTGGAATAGCCTTCAGCTGGTCGGTTGCAACCGTTTGAATGTTTTCGACTATGTTCCATTGAAGTGATTTTTCAACTTCGGCAAGACTCAAGTCGGGCGAATAAGGAAGCTGACAAGCCACTGTCTAAAAACTCGTTTATCGACATGGACAAGGAGCAATATCGTAGTGTAACACCCAATTGTTCTTAATCTAATGGATTGACTCTTCCCCGATCATTCTGTCAACCGTTGAACTGAACGCACAAGATCCCGGTTTCTGTCGATATTTTCATCGGTTCTTGAAGATGAAGGCCTTCCGGTTCGTTGTTTATCTTCAATCGACTCTCTCTCTCTCTTCTGAAAATACCTTAAAGCTCCGAAAAACCTGGGCTCTTGACAAAACACCATCTCAGGAGGCCTTCTGAAGTTTAGCAAGAGTTTCTGTTGCACTGTGCTCAAGTCTGAAGCAAAACCTGATAGCTCACCGTTGCTCGAAATTGACGACTCATTTTCAAAACACAATAGGAAAAACTGTTTTACGGACAGCCAAATGATTCGAGCGAGTTCAAACTTGTACTGACGTTGGATCACATGCTTTCCTATCTCCACTCCAAGCCCGGCGCCTCCAGTGTTGCCAGATCGAACGCTACGTTGCCAGTCTCATCACGTAATTTACAGACCTCGTATTTTATGTGTGTCCTTGAAAGAGCAGTCCTGAGCATTTACTCTCGTAAAAGCCATATATTATTAAGTGATACCTATCTTGGTTGATATATACAGTATGTTACCATTAATCATATATCACTCGAATATCATAGGCAGTGTGAATCACTGTTAATCATAGCAGTACACAGCCAATGTTGCCATTTACGATATCTGTGTTACATATTATTGATGGCAACATACAAAATGTTTGCAAGTATGGTTAAGAAATAAACAAATTGTTATGCTTGAAATGTTTCATTTATTCAGTCGATTCGCAGATTATAATAGAAATCAATATGCAATAGATCGCATTGTCTCGAATTTACTTAAGATTCCCACAATTCATTGTAACTATAAAATCAACATAATAGGTTACATTCTCCTCGTTGTGCCGCTTTCAAAACAGTCCAACTGTCTGAAATGCTCGGATTGCAATGTACAGCTTTTTGGGCAGCAATTATTGCTTGTTTTCTTTTGCCGATCATCAGATGTGACATTGACACGAGTGTCAGGACCTGAAGAAAAAAATCATCAAAATATATTTATCCTTAAAACATTAAGTCGGCTGAACTAATAATAGAGGTCTTTTTTCTCCATAGGTTGGGCGTGTGTGTTTAAGAGAAAAACTGTGTTAAGTAGGTTAGCTCTGCACTTTCCACGCAATGCCCTTATCAGTTCATAAAAGATTATGTTCAGCACAAACTAGTCCTATGAGAAAAAAGTCAATCGAAAAGGTCTACACAATTAGTCCATGGACATTCTTTACCTGCCCCACTGGCAACGCCGCCTCTCCCCGATACATGACCCGGTCAGACTTGGCAGCGCGGAAATGAATGACATGGTTTTTTGTGATATACATGTCATAATTTGCCATCAGTAGGCTTGGAAAGTAACAATAGGAAATTTCCGACACAGTTGCTTATGAAAAATGACAACGTCGCACACCTGAATCGAAATAATGATTGCGTTGTCCGAGTTAACAATGAGTTAAAGAAAATGTATGCTACATTTTATTATGTGCTCAGATACTATAGTATAGATGAAATAAACTGTTGATTTTACCTTTGGTACATCTACATTCTTCCTCTCAAGTGCTATAACGGTTTGAGCACATTTTGCCGCCGCTTCTAGCCTCACTTTCATTCGCAGTAATAGCAAAGTCAACGTCAGCCAAACTGACGCGTTATATGGATGTCTATGGACAATCTTGCTGATCTCTTTTACTGCCCTTTCGTATTGCTCCTGAAACAAATTCAATTTGATATAAGGTTGTTCAAACCACTTGATGTCCAATATGTCAGATTCGATACGTATGTTTCTCTCTTCCAACCGACCTTATTTGTCTGTCTCAGGATGCTCTCAACTTTCAGCGTAATTTGGGCAACATATTCAGTAATAATTTTTTCACATATCATAGGTATCAATAAGAAAATATCACTGACGCTATATTCATGCAGACCAATACACACAAGCATCCAGGGGCGATCTTAACACTCGACCATATTTTCTTTGTCAGATCTTGTTCTTAAGTATACCGTATAGACTAGGGAGCTTGCAACCCAAAAAGCATGCTGGTCGTTGAGGCATTCCTCCACAGGTGGCGCTTACAGCAAGTAGGCGCGGAATGTCGACTACTTAGTAGACAATTTTTAATGACATTATGTCGATTTTGAGGAGTTAGATACAATGTTAACAATCCTTACTGTTTCGGGTGCCTTGACAAGCAACGACCAATAGAGTAGAGAGTACTGCTTTGATTTTGACAGATCATAGGACTGCTTAGCAGAAAAGGCCAGAAGGAGTGGCGCCCGAGTTAGCGTCGACTTCAGGCGCTGATCCAGGAGGGGTCATGGGGGTCATGACCCCCCAGGCGAATTTAGTTCGACCACCAATTTTTAAAGTTCCAAATCTCTTAGTTAAATCGGTAATGCACACATATTAAATAGATGCCGTACTGCTATTTTATACTAAACACTGGCAGCACTGCATCCGTCAGCTTTGATTTAACTGTAAGCTCATAGCGCAAGACTGGTTGCCTATGCGATCAGCTGGATGTACGAAAAACTTCAGCTGTGAGCAAATTTGATAAATTTTATGACGGACCAGTGGAGGATTTAGGGGAAAGGGCCCGGTAGGCAATATGCACTGGGGGGGGGGGCAGTGGTATGATCGGGGACAGACGGCAAATAGTGCGCACTATAACTGTTTTGCGATTAACATAAATTACTGCAATTATTGACAAATAAAATACGGCAATGGAAGATTTGAAAGTTGCATCATAACTCAGAAATTAATATCAAAATTTAATGCGTAATGTCATGTTAGTGTAGACAGGTTGTAATGCGCATCGTAATTTTTTGAAGTAAATCAAACTTGATGATGCACCAGAAAACTTCTTGTACATAATAGAGTTTAAAAGTTATCACGGATGCTACCGATAAGTAAAGGGTGTCGATTCAAATTTGGAGTGCAAGCTATTTATAGAATTTGCATAAAATTATAATTAAGAAAAAAAAACAAATATGATCGATAGTTGTTTCCTGTTTGCCGTGATTAATATTTCATTGAATAGAAACTTGGTGAACAACACTAAAATACGTTATATATACTGGGCACTATTTGCGAAAGTGATATTCTCCACATTTATCGCTATTTGCAAATTAATGACGGCAACTGAGAATAAACAAATTAGAAAGACCTGCACAAGTAACTGAAACAAGCTAATGGATGGTGCAAAAGGTTTTTTAATAGTAATTTGATGCAAAAGGTTAATCTGATGCTGCTTCAACGTGCCAATAAGCCAGATAATTCAACTGTTTCAATATTCACGCGGATCCACAATTTTTCGATAACCTAAAATCCATTTAAATTATTCAGGTAAAGTTCAAACTACAGATTTTGCTGGCAATAAGGATGTCACATATAACAGAGGCTTACAATTATATGCACAATAGTAGCTGCTACGCACTGTTACCTCTGTTTTTACGATATTCAATACAAAATAATAGAATTATTCTTATTTGAATCGGCGTCTACAAGGGTAGGATTGTCTGGATCCGCCGTTGGTCGACGCACGTATTGAGATACTGTGTACGCGCGTACATTTTCGAAGGAGTATTTCCATGTCAACAGCAAGTATTTATTTTATGTAAATTAAAGGCCGCTGAACTTTATTCTCCAAGTTTTGATGTATATGCACGCGGTCCATAATTTTATCGAGGTTATATTTCGGAATACATAAACCCTATTTCACTAGTTATCATAACCTTTTGACGTCTACTGAGGTGATCAGCAAGTGACATCTTTATATTGATCTGTAAGGTTGCCAATAATGTGTGCGAAATCTATTAAAATTTGCTTGTAGCGTTTTTTTTTGTAGACGAAATGAATCTGTAGCGTTCCAAAAATCAAAACAAAATACGGCTCTGTCTACCTGGCTTTGACGGATCCGTCAGAATTATGTCTTTTTTTTGTGGATATGGGGAATTTTGAAGTATTACTAGGTAATGAAGCTGTTATTCTATCGTAATGGATACTCGTGAAAAAGACAATAAATCAGGTGTAATGTTTCACTAACCTCTTTGATGTAAAAATATAACAGTAATCGAGAGTAATGTGGTAGACATTCCTGTCTGTCCTTGAAGAAGTCCAGCTCACTAAGGACAAGCTTGGCAAGCTTTTTGTCGTCGTGCAGTAACGCTAGCGATAGAGTAGCGTACAGTCCCCATGGCGATGGCGGTTTTAGATTTATACTAAAAAAAAAGTACGAGGGTCATTTTTTAAGTAAAAACCGTTTTGTTAGAGTCAGAGTAATTTTATTTATGAATGTAAATTGTGTCGCGAACTAAAATATGATCATTTTTTTATTCACTATAGTCACCACAAACATTTAAACATTTGTAATGGCACCAACTTTTGGATCCCGCCGGCAAAAAACTGCCGCCTGTCCGCAAAACCGGTTAGTAGGGGAGATGCGGGAAAGACGCGGTATCTAACGTTTAAAGGGCAATAAAACTGAAACCATTGCACTTAAACAATCATATTTATTATGAAATCTTCCTTTGGTAATAAGTCTTTAACATTTTTATAATTTTAGGAACAACCATAGCATAATTATTATTCTAGAGACAAAAATAAAAAAAGTCCCACCCTCTGGTTCGGGTAAGATGGGGTACCCCTAGAGGGCAAGATGGGGTACAGCATTTCAAGTACTTGTCTAATTCGCAGGTGAATGTTGCTTCATCGTCCTCGTGATCCACTCCAGTACAAGAGCAATGTGCCCACGTGCCACAGAGAGAATATTCAATCCAGCCTTCATTCGAATCTAAATAAAGACCGCTGCAGTACAAACAAGGGGTATTTTCAATATCCGTATCACTCTTGTTATCGGATGATTTGCGATTATCTATCGTTTGTTTCTTTTTTATGACTCCTGTGTTATTTAGTCTTCCTTTTTATACTTCTTTTTCGTCATCTCCAACTTTAATTGTCTAATTTCATTTCTTTTTTGTTTATTCTCTTCCGTGACCTGCTTTTTTTTAATCGTTCCTTCCAGTTCTTTTTTATACGGCGACTCAGTAATAATGGCTGTCCTTCCTCGTTTACGAGTCACGCGTGAAGTTTTACGAGGGGGTAATATTTGCTGTGGAATAACAACAGAAAATGTTGACTGTTGTGGAGTATTTGGTCTCCTGTCTATTTCTATTTCATCAAAACACGTGGAACATCCGGGCTGAGGACTCGACGAGGTAGCAGAAGCCACCGTAGGTGTCTCGTGAATAGTAGCTGATACAGGAACATTATGAATGGATTTGCAAATCGCAACTGTTTTAACCCTGATAGATAGAAGTGAGGCACGAGATGTAGTTGCATTAGTAATAGCAGCTTCACTGACATGCAGCACAGGTAATACGTCAACCTGCTGCGTTTCTAACTCAACAGGTGCTGTGACTGCTACATTTTTGGTGGCTGTAGTCAGTGCTTGAGTGAGCGGAATATCACTCACCAACGAAGGAGGAAAGTCGGTTTCAGAGAAGACCGTCCGATGGTAAGGCCAAATTCCGTACTTTTTGACGCCATTTACAGCTGTTGCCATGGTGGATGTTTCTATGAATGCCTTTCCAAAAATTTCTGCTACTTGCCGCATTGTTACAACCATCCCTGAATTGCTGCGAAGCCAGGTCGTAATTTGTCGATCATAATAATTGCTCAACGGTCTCATATACTATAAATAGCATCGGCGACCTGAAAGCGATGAGTTGTATGTGGGGGGAAACATAAAATAATTACCCCATTGGCTCGATGTTTTTTGTATGGATGCTATGGCCATCCAATAAAAGCAAAATAGGTCGATCTACTGTGGCTCCACTAAATTTCACAAACTGGTTAAACCATCCAAGAAACAACTCTGTGGACATCCAGCCTGAGTCACTAACAGCTCCAGGGGCAGCATTAAGCATTAACTGTAGGTCCATCTTCTTCCTGGGAAACACCATCATAGGGGGCATGTATTGTCCGCTGGCGCTGAAGCATATCTCTACTGTGATTGTAACACCTCTGTCTGCAGAAGTTAATGCCCCTATTTGTTTTCGACCTCGTTTTGCTACCATTTTGGATTTAGTCTTTGGTACAACTGAAACACCAGTTTCGTCGCAGTTATAAATGCGGTCTGGTGTAAGATGATGTTCGTCATAGATATTGCCCAAATAATTAAAAAATTGATCAACAACTTCTCTGTTGAACCCGGCAGCACGCGCAGCAGAGGTGCTTTCGGGTTTTCTTATTGACAACTCAGGGTGTCTGTTCAAAAACCCTTGAAGCCAATCTTTGCCGGTTTCTTGTTTTTAAACGTTAAAAGGATGGACTTTATTATTTTTTACTGCTAAATTGTACGCTAATGCCTTTAAGTCTTTGGTTGTAAGTCCGTAAAGTCGAGTCTCCATGTCCAATATATAGCTACAAAGCTCGTTCTCTTCTTCTTCTGTGAAAACAGAGGTTGCTTAGGGCCAGGGAAACCTTAATACTTTTAGATGAAGATAGGGCCGAGTTCTCGCGAGCTTCTTTTACTTTTCTTTCTACAGTATTCTGAGGAACTGAAAATGTCTTTGCGGCTAGCATATACCCCATTTTCCCTTCTACAACGGCTTCAACAGTTTTTTTCATGTTCTCTTCCGACCACTCGCCTCTATTTGTCTTTCTCTTGTATTTTTTCGCCATGCTAAAACAAAGAAATCCGCCTATGCATTACACAGCCAAGTCACATGCATATATACACTCACAAACATACTTATATAGAGAGAGATACATTAACATTAATCAACACAGAAACTTAAACCGTAATCAAAAACTTAGGACGGGCAAGATGGGGTACACATACCCCATCTTGCCCTCCTAGGTCTCGATATATTAAAAAAATAATCAAAATAAATAATACACAAGACAGAAATAACGCAGTTTTTACCTGCTAGCGTAATCGTCGGCGGATGAGGATAAACTCTTATCTAATATACACAACTATTGTATAGTAAACACGTACTAAACGAATCGAGAAAATAAGACGAAAACGTGCTGAAATCACTTTTGTTTCGATAACATAAAAAATAGGTGTCGCACGAATCACACACGAGAGTGCACTGAGAGCCGTCATGGCGCCACATCGTCTGTGCAACTTTGAAAATGTTCGCTCGATTAGAAGGGCATAATAGAGCGGCTGCCCCGTCTTGCCGCCACCCCGTCTTGCCCGCACCTCCTCTAACTGTTTCTTTCAACATGACATCATGTTCCAAGCGCTTTCACCAACAAATTCCTGAAGTTTTGAAAAAAGATGAAAGTCTGATGGTGCATGATCCAGTAATTCCAGACGAAAATTGTCCAGTTGCATCTGTTGCATGTGTGCAACGTGAGGCCGAGCATTGACATGAAACAGAAAACGACGCTGGAAATCAGGTTGAATAGCAGAATAGCGCGCCTAATTCAACAAGCTGCAACAAGAATTTTAACAAGAGGATTTCTTTTTGCTTTTAAAAACCGAATTACTGAGCGCATTTCACAATCAGCGGGTTTACTGATTGAGATGTCGACATACAAAGCAGTACAGCCACACAACCAATACCGAAAGACGTGAATGGCGGCCAAGAGTGTCTGAGGTTGAACAGATTTCACGTGACAGGATGCGCGGGCACAATGCGCGGTTATTACTCTAAAAATGACTCTCGTAATATATATGTGATTCAAAAATGGTAATCTTGGTACCTTTGGAAGAGTAAAGTTTTAGCTGCATTTGCGTCTTGAAACATATACGCCATCGACGCTAACGCGACTAAAAGTTCTGACTGGTTCCTTTGTTCTTCAGTCAACCAATGCAAAGCTTGTTCATATGCATTATAAGACTCCTCATACTGCTTATCTACAATGTAAGAGATATGTCATATATGTTTCCAAAAAGAAATTGATCAAACCTTTAAAGTACGCCAAAGCCAACCCAACACCACTCTTAAAGTTAGCCTCTTCGACTTCTCGGAACATACTGATAGCCCTAGCATAATCTTCAACCTTGTAGAGCATACGACCATAATTGACCCTAGCTTTATCTCGAGTCTGCTGTGAGGAAAGTTGATAAGCTTTCTTAAAAGCGTCTAATGTACCTTGTTTCAGTTGCATTCTTTCTTTTAGTATACCCAACATGTTCCAGGCGCAGCTATCCTGCGGATTATTTTCTGAAAAAAAAAACATTTTTGTTTTGACTAATATGACAATCGTAGGGATATTTTCCTACTTTTAACAGAAGCCTAACATCAATGTCAGAGGTTAGGCGTGGAAAAACTTATTACGTCACGCTAGAATTTATTACGTCAGAACTTAGCGCGAAATTTTACGTTTGAAGGACAAGTGTTGCCCCTTCTCGTAGAAAGAAGTGAAAACATTTTGGATGCAGAATATAAATACTCATTCGATTTATTTAGGAAAATACTCCAAAATTTACTGTTGACTGATAACAAGTTTGACAACCCTTACAACGCCAATTTCGATGTTTAGTGGATGCCTGCGTAGATGATATCAGAATCAATGAGTGCATTCAGGGATGCAGAGGTTTTATGATTGAAACACCTGGAACAAATTATTACAGTATATTTTGGTTATTCTTCTATCAAGGGACCCCATCATAAATGACTTAATCCATAAATCTGGTAGGTCTTTTCCCCAACATTTTGGAGCATAGGAGGAATTCCAAACAATGAACATGTTACTGTTCCCCCTCGTTAAGCAATTCATCACCGGACAAAGGGAGGCTTTTCAACAGTTCTTCACAAATAACTAACAGTAACAGTTCCCAACAGATTTCCGACTATTCAGCCCAAGGATTTCCAAGGAATAGTCAAAAATTGTTAAGTTAATTTACAATCTGTTTGTTTTTGTTCATATGGCAGATCTGTCAAAGCACAGCGTTGCAAGATGGGTCTGAAAGAATCTCCCCAGAACAAGCAAAAAATCCCTCAGAATTGCTACTTTTTAAAAAAATCCCCCTAATCACCGTTAATTAACGGAAAGGGGTAGGCTTGATTCAAAGAGCGAGAGGAATGCTTTTTATATCCCCAAAAAATTCCCCAAGTAAAAATCTCCCAAATTTGGGAGAAAATCCGCCAACATGGCAATCCTGTTAAAGCACCACTGTTACTCCAGGCATCAAGTTTCGGGGTCGTTTTTACACCACGAACAGCATTTCTGCCGTTTCTTCTGACATAAACGCTTCATGATTTGAATAATAAATTATCAAATCGCTGACGGCCAAACGAAAACTGCTGCGAACTAACAAAGCTATTCCACGGCTGGACCGCTTTAGGTTACCTGAATGCACTCATTGTGTCTGAGACTTCAGTTTTTCTGTAGCACAAATTATTCTTGATTTAAAACTATTCTACATACGAACAGAAAGCTCGATAATACACCTGTAAAACGTTACACTGAAAGCTGACCCATATATTTCTGTGCTAATCATTTTCCAAACAGAGTGCGATCTCACACACAACAAGCACTTTCTTTGCTCTCTTTTATCCAAAACATCGAAAATAAAAATAGTGATAATTGATGAGTAAACCAAGAATACCTCAATAATATAAAAGAAAAGTATAGAGTAGCGTCAGTTTTAGTGATGAGCGTTTAGAAGGATGAGCGTGCTTAAAACTGTCGTCGTGTTGTGCGCCATATTGTCGTGCTGTGAGTGTAGGAATGTTACTCGTCATAAATACAAGAAACATGACTACTACTATTACAAATATTTGCTATGTAAGTATATAAATTAAATATGAAATTCGATCTACCTAAATATATCAACTTTTTAATTTTACGTTTACGAATAAGGATTCCTAGTTATTTAAGAATCACTAGAACCTTTTTCTTCAAGCAGTAGGCTTTTGAAAGAAGTTAGTCGTTTAAAATCAATTTTCTGTTTTTAGTTCACGAGTTCAAATTCTTCGTATTTGTCCTGGTGAAAATAAAGATTTTGGTGTTATTTGGAACATTCTGGACAATCGCACTGCTAATAGGAAAAGTATTTGCCATTATTAAAGCTTCAGAATATATGAAAAGTAAGTATACACATTTGATAAAGTTATATAGACCCTCGCCGAGCTTTCTCGCCAAGAGTACAGGTCTAATTTTGTGTTTATTTATTTAGCAACTTCCCGCGCCTCTGCCAATTACAGGATGGGTAAACATGAAAATAAAAAGAAAACAATACATATAACTGGGGGATGTGTTGTAGGGAAACCTCGAGCGCTGAAAAAAACCTCATAACAGAACTCTGAGGAAAAAAGCGTTCTAGCCTTACCCGCCCAGTACTCAACAATCAAACCGGAAACATTTATGCAAGCGTTAACAAAAATAAGTATTAATGTCTCTGTAACTGAATTATAATGCTACACATTATATAGATAGGAGAACACTAAAGTATGTCAGTCCTAGGCCTGGCTAAGTAAACAATTGCACTATTTCGCGACGTTAGACTAGGAACAATGAAGTTGTTCCAAGATGACACTGAAGCCTATAATACCAGGGCTAAGCTTGTGAAGAAACTGAAGGGAATTATTTTTGCATCGTCTCTCTAAACTACAGATGTTATGTCTCACCATCAACTCACTATGAGGAAAGCCAATCGCAGGGTATTTCCCATCCTGTTTGTATGAAATATATATTTCCAGTGTGAGAGGAGAAGGGAGGTTTTCTGTCAAATATGACTCTCAGGGTCATTAATTGTATTAGGTTTGTCAAGTTTCCTGCTCCAATACTATATACATACCTACATCATGACCCCTGTTTTTAAAGTAAAAGACAAAACATTACACCTAGCAGCATTCGAAACCAATCTGTTTTCACGGAACCAGTTGTCGACTCTCACAATGTTGCATGGTAAGCAATGACAATCTTCAATGTGAGAGATTCTACAGAAAAGTTACATATCGTCAGCACATATAAAAAAATCAATATCAATAACTGTGTGTGTGTGTGTGTTTTAAATTGTAGAGGACCATGATTACCACCATGAAAAAATTGTATATTCGGCACCGCCAGCATATAGTGACCACTCATTTGGTTCCCCACAAGACCATGGTTACGCTTCAGATCCATCGGTAGATGATTACAATGCACATCGACGTCACAATATTCCAAAATATCGGAAATACAAGGATACTGGCATTTTTGAACAGTTGAGAGGATTCGTCACTCGGTAAGTTCAATACTATACGATACGATATTCAGAGATTATTCAAATAAATGAGGTCAAGTAGATTGACTCAATACTTCCCACATCTTTGAAACAACTACTAGTACAATTATTTTAAAAGGAGCAATGACATCAAAAAGAAGTAGATTTTGTAAAACTGGTTGTCAACCATGTTTGATAACTGATTATAATAGCTCTTGATACATACTCATATACTATACTATATAAAATAACTTGGATCGCGTGCTAAAGATGCATTATTTATGAATAACCCCGTGGCGCACGGCATGTGCGACCGATAAGCAATCCGCCTGCTGGAGATATTATTCTCTTTTAAGGGCAAATGTACTGCGAAATCTATGAGGTGTGAAACATGTCTTATAGTAAAATTACCGGGGTTGGAAGTGCATTAATATACTAACAGAAAAAAAGTGAGATATACCCAAACCTCACCCACTACAACTCCTCACCAATTGTTTTACCCAAAAATTTTTTTTTCAAAAATGATCCGGACTGTCTGAAACGTCGGAAAACGAAGTTGGAGAGATTTTAATTTTTTCGTGTTTGGCCTTTTTCTTCGCCGACACTGGAAAACTAAAAAGCTCTTTAATCATTGGCATAGTAGTAGCCTTGTGTAAAAATGTGATCCATCCAAAACCAGTACATTCCAAGGATTAGCGAACAAACAGACCGACGGAAATGGTTTTTGGTGATGTCATATCTCATTTTCGAAATTTTCCGCGATTACAATACTTCCTCCACCAATAAGGCGTTGAAAGTAGCAATATACCTTTTTTACATTATGCAGCAATTATTTGATGATTTTTGTTTAATATTTTTAGTTTGAATACAACAGAGACAGCCTTCAAAAAAATGGGTGTTACTTCTGATAATTGCAAGAAGAAGCTGATTTGCGAACTTCAATATGCAGCAAAACATAGTTCAATTCTATCATATGCCTTGAATATATTGAGGTAATTTTTTATAATATCTGGTGAAAGTTTGAAGTTTTGTATTATAGGAAATACGTAATTTTTTGCAGATCATATATATCTTCATATTTATTCTAAAATTCAGTGTATCCCTACAATTTTTACAGAACAATTTCGACTTGATCATTAATGACATGCGTTTTTTATATTTTTCAGGGACTCAAGTTTCGATAATTACAGAACAGATGGCTATATTCCAGATATGTCTTTCTGTACCTCGACAAATATGAGCTGCAAGGAAGATGTTACGTAAAAAAATCAGCGTTGTGTTTGTCAAATGACGAAATAAATATGATTTTTCTGTATAAAACTATGCTAGTCTGATTGAATAACCGAATATGAGGCGTCGGTAAAAGTTGCCGTGATTTTTTTACTTTCCACGTCACTGGCGAGGAAGTATTGCAATCGCGAAACATTTCGAAAATGAGTTATGTTATATGTACATCACGAAAATCCGCTAATCATTATCTCTAGGGATGCACTGAGTATTGCTTTTTCAAAAAGCCGAGTAGCTGATACTCGATCAGATCCTAATACCGGTGCTCGGTGCATCGTAAGTGTGTATTATCGGTATTTACAGAAGTTTTGTTATTTAAATATCCAGTTTGGTATATGTTCGACATCATGGAATTCAGTAGCTACAATCTTAAGTTAAAATAGGAACCAGTTTTTGAACATTTGTTTTTTATCTTTTCAATCCTTTCTATTACAAAAAAGCACATTTGTAAGACATTCGAAAGGATATACTCGGTCTCTTTAACCTACATTTTTGTTAATGGAAGGCTGCGCGAGGCCTCTATCTGTTAGAATCACTGCGGTGTCATAGTTTTCAGGAACACTGAACAAAAATCTTATATGTTTCTAAACATTGGGCAGTAGGTTACAAAAGAAGCAAATTAAAGCTGCTCGATGTCATAGCAGGAACAACTCAGATTTGGGAAGGGCTGAATGTGAATTATCCTTACATATGAGCAAAGGTATTCTTTGCAAAAACATTATTCACGTAACTTTTCGTCTTTTACTGCGTCTTGTTTACTTTGTTTTATGGTTTTTAGTTGTTCTTTATACTGGATAACACTAGAAGCTTACTACTATGTCAAACACGAAAGAGCATTGTAGCTTTTGAAAATCCGTTCCAGTAGCGACTGAGATAGATGTAAAAAACGAAACAAAAATCGTTCAAACTAAGTGTGTTGACGTTTCAGAATCATTTTCAAAAACTGTTTGAAGAGACCAAAAATTTATGTTTGTAGGGAGTGGGGGAGAGTATACTCGTATCTCAATTTTTTGGCTTTAGTATATTTATCACCTTCAGCTCCCAGTAATTCTACGCACCTATTAGACATATTTCACACATCATCAATTTCCCCGTAAATTTATCTTTAAAACAAAGATAGAAACCTATTTTCAACACTCGCCTCGTAGAGGAGCATAGAAATCATTGTACTCACAATCAGTGGTGGTTTCTGGTTTCAGGATTCATATTCAGGGGGAGAAGGTTATAGAGATGTGTGAACGTGAATGGAAAGATGATAAGCAGGTTGGATTTAGAATGATGTTTGTAGCTAAAGGTCGTATCGTCAGTCGTTCCTACAATTGTAGGACGTCTTTATGGCCTCCTTGATTTTCTTAGTCTTTCATCTCCTTCAGAAAAACTGGGATATTTCTAGATTTTTACTGATCCGTGTTAGCGTCAGCACTCTCCTATTGTCAGGCTATTTTTTCTTCTTGACTTGTAGGATATATCAGATGATATAAATTAAAAGAATGAATAATTTGATGCAAATATGTATTTGTAACATAACCTCAAAATACAGCGCTGGCACGGAAGAGTAGAAAACTATGAAAATCAAGGAGTCCATACAGGCTGAGGATAGGGCCCTAACTATCAGAGAGGCTAACTTGTACCGAACATAATCCTTTATGAACTAAAGACAGCATTGCGTGAGAAGTGCAAAGTCAACCTAGTTGACGCCATTTCTTTTCTATCAAAAAGGTGTCCCATCTTCAAAAAAAAACACAGTATTAGTACCTGTATAATAAGTGAGAGCATCACACGCAACAGGGATAGCGTGCATATTGTGAATTGCATAAATGACTTCATGTGGATCAGAGTCAAGCAAAGTCTGACACACCCAATGCCCATAACCAATACTACTCTGCTGATGATGGGCTATCTGGGTACAGTGCCTGAAAAGGTCCATCGCCTCTTCGTGACCTAGAGATTCCGCTATCAGTGCCTAAAAACAAACCATCAGTAAAAATAGGACAACTATTAGACATTCGCGTATCTGTGTTTGAATTTGAAGGCAAAAGCCAAGTAACTAAAGGGTGTCTCAACAAGAGCGCCATTTTTTTGTACAATTGGTATAGTGTTTACCTGATGACAGCTGTCATGTCCAGACCACGCGATTAGACGTCATGAAGCAGTATCCAAACAAGCAACGATTAGTTATTGTGAAAACTCACTACAAAAATTGAGAACATTACGCGGAAATAGTTCGCAAATTACGTACAATTTTCGGTCGCAATAATGCGCCAAATGAGTCGACAGTTCGCTGTTTAATTATAAAATTTGAGACAAAATTCACGTTGCTGAATGTGAAGACCACTGTTCTTCGCCATCCTGGTCGGTTCCTCGAAAATATAGTCGCAGTGGCCAAAAAATGAACCTTACCAAGACTCACTATGCGACGAATTGTGACAAAAGATCTGTACTTCTAAGAAGACGGTGCGAGCTGCCACACAGCACGCGAAACAATGGTGTTACAGCGGACCAAGTTTCCAGACCGTGTCATCTCTCGGTTTGGCGATCAAAATTGGCCACCAAGAACGTGCGATCTAACGCCAATGGACTTCTTCCTCTGGGGCTATGTAAAGGAAAAGGTGTACGAACAAGCCACAAACAGTTGAATGCCTTAAAGAAGAGGTACGGCGCGTTATCGACGAAATAGAGCCACAGTTGTGCGAAAGCGTTATCCAGAATTTCAAGTAAAGACTAACCCTGTGCCAGAGGTTTCCTGGTAGCCATTTACGAATGTCCTATTGCTTGTTTAATCGCAACTATTCCTCTTCATGTTGAAATATAAATACTCGTTTAATTCGAAAATAAATTGTTTTTCTTGAAAATCAAATCCGGCGCTCTTATTGACACACCCTTTATATTGGATGTAAACAATAAATGGCAACAGTGCATTTGTCACCTGTCCAATCCAGCTTTGTACATGACTCGGATCTGACCGTTGACCTTGTGCAAACGCCTTATTGGCTAGCTTTATATCGTCCATGATAAAATACAGTGTCCCTAAATTCGCCCAAGCTACTGCATAGTTATGGTCGGCTATCAAAGCTTTGATAAACGCATGCTGCGCCAGCGATAAGTTCGGCGGTTCTACAAAAAAAAATCAGAGTACATGTTTGAGAGATTCATTTACTATCAAAAAAATGTAAAACAGATGTTAAAAGTTAACCTTGATGCATTGCGATGTTGCCCATGAGATTCCAATGTTGCCAGTTCATCGGATTTATGGAAGTGCAATGTTGACATGCTGACATGGCGTACGAAAGAAGCAGTTTCTTTTTCTCTGATTCTGTTGTATTGAGAGCATGTGTCATGTAGCACGTTGCTAGATCGTGCCATATTAATATATTCGTTTCAGTTAGATTTATAGCTTTACAGTAGAATCTAAAAAATACATTTATATTTTACATGGTCTACAAAAATATTCGATGAACCTGTACCTAGTAGCAGAAACAAAAAGTTGTTCCTTTTCGCAAAGTTGATTTTCATCTTGATCGCCACCTTCCAACAAAAAATTGGCCATGAAAAGGCAGCAATATTTTTCTGAGAGTTTTGTAACAAACGTACAACTATCGCCTAATAATTTCCATAAACATGAGTAAGTACCATCTTGCTTCATAGCTCTAAAAATTTAAATATGTTAATAAAACAATTGACTGTATTTTAAAATGATGTATCAAATAATACATAGTACCAATTAGAGAGCTCAAAATCAACTACATACTGCAACGGCATTATTTTTGCATAAAATCCTAGTTCGATTGAATTATGGATTTTTGTCGCTCGAGAGCGAGAACAGACAGCTGTATGGTGATTGGGCAATTTAAACGGTCCGACGAAACAATTTAGCGTAAGTAAGAGAATGGGCATCTAGTTTTAAACTAAAACAGTAAAAATAATTCTGTTTCCTTTACTAGCAATAGTAAGCTTTGGATGAACGAGTGAAGGGTCGCCTTCAGCACCCTTGATCTATAACAAATCAGGTATATTAACAAATTCCACTGACGTGCAACGAGATGACTTACAATGTCAAATTATTTACTGCACTTTGAATATGGTCTCTTGACGTCCCAAATCGTTGAGTTTTGTAGCACTCTGTAGCTTGCCGTATATAGGTCTCTGCAAGACCCTTCAATGCAGGTATATACAACCCATTATCTAAAAGAAGTTCCTCAAAGTCTTCTATAGCTTCTGGATATTGTCCCAAAATCTGAAAACGACAAATGTTACCCATAGTACAATTTTACCAAGCGAAGTTCAAAATTATCGAGCATTATGAAAGTCTTGGAAAAATCTTGTAACATCCTCTTAAACTTGAACAATTAGGTACCTTCGTAATATCGACGCTCAGGCAACCAATCGTGCAATCAGAATATCGGTAGCGTTCGCGTGCATCGAGAGCGTTCGACATCCATCGAGAAGCATCTACCGCCAACTTCCAAGAAGACTCGATTTCGATCGAGAAAACGCGAGAACATGTTTCTCGAAATCATCGATTGACGACAAATATTCCAACAGCGGACGCAAGCAGACAGAGTCAGTTAGTGGTACAGACAGCAAGCGCAAACTGCCGTAAATTAGTTACAAGTGGTGTTATGAATTAGTGAGAAGGTAACAAATTAGACTTATAACAGTAAACGACAGTGTATAAATATCCACATGCAACTTTAGAAAATTGGCTACCTTTTTTATATTTGCAATTTGCAAAGATGGATATAAGGCTTTAGGAGTGATCTCTAAAGACCTCTGATAACATTTCAGAGCTGATGTATATGATCCCCTGGCAAAATAAGCATCTGCCAAAGCTTCCCAATAATGCCTGAAACATATCGAATGCATTGTGACATCTCGTAATTGTTATGAACATACACATTGTCACCGTCTATCCTCACGACATATCTCAATCTATCTATGGCGTTCTCATAATCTTCTTGTTCTAAGTAACTGAGACCTAGCTGTAAGTATGCCCAGCAGTTTTTCTTGGTTATTGGGCCTGTGGTAAGACTTTTCAGTAAACTTTGTGCTGTGTCCTAAAAATTGAATATAAAATAAGTCGTAACCACAAATTAAACATCATACACAGGACCGCATTTTAAAGGGGGTCTTCTATGTAACATTTTTTCCTCGAAGGCCTCGTTAAAAAGATACGGCAACATTTTTTTTAATATCTTCAAAACCGTCAACTGGAATGACCCAAAGTTTGGTATATGGATTTATCTAAGTATTGTCCACATTCTACAAGTCTTTATTAAAAATTAATAGGCACCAGTGGCGGAAATACAGGGGATTAGTGGCCTTATTTTTCCAAATAAAAATAGTACGCCGCCGTTTTTGTTTTTCGAAACGCGCAATTGTTCGAATTTTGCCTTCAATTTGCTACAAATAATTACTCTTGTGTTTTTTCCTAGAGTTGCACTGTTTTCGTAAAAATAAAAATAAATTAAATTAGATCATTCCTGAAGAGCCGAGATACAATTAGTTTTCAACCAAATAAAAGGCATTAATACCAACTTGAAGTTTCTTGGAAGATAGTTATGTGTTATGCGGTTGTTACAGTTACTACCGTCATTTTTTTTAAAGTCAAGTAAAAAGTTTCTTTTTTCCATTTTTGAGTGTTGTGAAATGGAATTTAGCAATGACGAGTTCGCCGATATTATTTTTGTGTATGAGTCCTGTAATGGAAATTCTTTAGCGGCTTCTCGGGAGTATCAACATAGATTTCCTGACAGACGCCAACCTACCTTAAAGGTTTTTACGCGTTCATTTCTAAGACGTCGGCAATATGGAATTGCCAAACTTACGGGAGTTAGAGGCCATGGTATCCGGCATACTGTTCAAGAGGAACTGGAAGTGATCAATTTGGCGTTGAATCATGCTAGTACAAATACTAGGCGGATTGCAGCCCAGTTACCATGTTCACAAAGTCTTGCGTGAAGAATTTTAAATCGGGAAGTTTTATATCCTTACCATCGACGAAGTGCAACGGCAAAATTTTTGTGGGGAGCTTTTAAACAACTAGTATAATGCTGAACAAATTAATACTGTTGATCAGTTACAAGAAAGAACAGATAATGCGCTTCATCAAAGTCAAGCCACAACAAATTTTGCGGAAATACGTTTTTCTTCTCTAAAAAGATGCCGTACTTGTATCCATCAGAAAGGGGCCTTTTTGAACACTTATTGAAATAAAGCTTTGATTATCTAATTTGTTTTTTTTTTATTTTACGAAAGCAATGCACTCTAGGAAAGAAACACAAGAGTAATTATTTGTAGCAAATTGAGAGTAAAATTCGAAAAATCACGCGTTTCGAAAAAAAACAGTGGCGTACTATTTTCATTTGGAAAAATAATGCCACTAATCGTCTGTATCTCCGCCACTGGTGCAGGTTAATTATAAGTAAAGACTTTTGAATGTGGACAATACTTAGGTAAATCCACATACCAAATCTTAGTTCATTACAGTTTTGAAGACGGTTTTGAAGATATTAAAAAAATTGTTTTTTATTTTTAAACTTCAACACCCCGTATCTTTTTAATGAAGCCCTCGAGAAAAAAATGTTACATAGAAAACCCCCCCTTAAAATACAGTCCTGTGTATGATATTTTATTTTTGGTCACGACTTGTGAATCACTCTGGATGCAGGATGTACCTTTTTAATCTACCCACCTAAATATTTTGAAAACTATCCTAGAAAAAGTTTCATACAAAACATCGTAACTGAAAAGAAGAGTAAATTTTACGTCCGAATATGACGATTACATTGACCTTCTCTTCAAGGCCATTTCAAGGTCTAATCAAGACGTTAAAAACAATTTGATCTAGCAAGAATAGTCGACAACGCAGTTGTGACCAAAGATGACCTTGACCATGACCTTCAAGGTCAAGTCGTAATTTGCACAGATAAGCTCTCATTTTCACACTGGAAATGGAAAACGCAGGAAATTTTACGTATGTCAAGGTCGATCTTGAAATGGCATTTAAGGTCGTAGTTAAGGTCAATGCCAAGGGCACCATCATTTTGCCTCCTCAAAACCCTACAACTTTTGTTTGAAATTTTTTTTATAAAATACACAGATTTCGAAATATGTAGGTGGGTAGATTAAAATGGGACACCCTGTATAACGATGGTTCTTTGGAGTGACTAATTTGTTAATACAATTGCTTACAAATTTTTTTAGCTGGCGGTATACACTGCTTAATTCAGTCACTACGTCTAGTGAATTTGGACTAATTTTGAATGCTTTTTCATAACACCTCCTAGCTTTTTCTGTATCATTTGCTTTTTGATAATAGTTGCCCAAATAAAAAAATGTCAAATAGTTATTAGGATCACATTTAGCAGCCTTCAAAAAAGGCACCAGAGAATTTTTGTGCTCTCCCATCTTCCAATAAATTTGACCTATTTCATTCCACCAATCAGAATCCTCAGGTGTATTTTTCTCCAATAATGACAAAGCATCATTGTATCTTTTTTCCTGAATATACATCTTTGCCTTCAAAAACTGTATCAGGCTGTCATCTGTCAATGTTTGTATTTGTGATTTTGCTTCAGCAAACTTGCCCAGATGTATGTAGGCAAGTATGGCATACTTTGAATACTCATTTTTAGTAGATTCATTAGTAATCTGCAAAAAATACTTTTATTAGAATGAAAGTGACTATTTGTTATAATGTAAGAAGACTCCAAGTTGATAATTACGAAGTATGTGAATTAAGTAATAACATTGATTCTTTTATTCCAATAATTATAATTAAAATTTTATATTGTTACCCTCAAAATAACTTCCTTTCAACTATCACAAAATAAGTTCTCTTAAGGTGATTTTTCAACGTTGAGAAGAGAAAAAAGTTACAAGCACTCAAGTCAGATGAATAAGCAGAAAGAGGAGATACAGGAATGTTTTTACTGGTAAAAAACTCATTTATTGACATTACTGTGTTCTTGAACTGATGAATGGTGGTGTGAATCAAATGTAAAATTTCAATTGACCATCTGAATGCATACGATCCCGGATTCTGTCGATACTTTGAAGATGAAGGCCCTCCGCTTTGTGGTTCATCATACAATCAACCTCTCCATTCTGAAAATGCCTTAAACGACCAAAAAACCTAAGCTCTATCGTCATGGGCCTGCTAAAGTTTAGCAAGAATTTTCATTGCACTGTGTCCAAGGCTGAAGCAAAACACTATCGCTCAAAATTGATGTCACTCATTTTTAGAACACCCTAGGAAAAACTGTCGCTACGGGCAACCAAATGACTCGAGTGAGTTCAAACTTGTACTTAAAGTGGATCGAATGATGTCCTGTCCCCCCTCCAAGCTCGGCACCTTCAGTGGTGCGAGATCGAACTCTATGTTGCCGTCTCATTGCTTAATTTGCAGACCTAGTATCATTATTCTAAACCCTATGAATTTAAAAGAATATTTCAACTACCTTATTATAAAGTTCTATAGCCTTCTGCCAGTCTTCTTTATCTGATGATATAGAGTAGAGCTGTATTAAGGAACAATCCAAAATTTCCTTCAGTTTTTTGTTTGAGTATTTGATTGACTTCAATAACTTTTCAGATGCTTCTGATGCATGGATTGCCTCTTCATACAAGCCTAATCTCACCAATAGTGTAGTAAGCATAATCCAAGCATGTAACAAACCAGGTCTCATTCTTGTAACTACAATAATAAACAAATATAGACCATATTCTAAGCTACTGCAATTACAATTCACTGTCACACCAACCTTTTGTCAATACTTCCTTAGCTTCCAATAATTTCTGATCTTCCACCAACATAATGCCATGAGTAAATAAGCCGATAGCATCATTTGGATCATTTTTCAACAATTCTTCACAACTTATTTTTGTTAACTCAGCACAATTTTGGGCAAACTCTTTGTTTTCTAAGTATGACTGATTAGATATTTTACAGATCCATACTAAAGGCATATTATCATTCTCAAATAGCTTGTGCATCACTTGAGCATGCTCTAATAAATCTTTATATCTATTTTGCTTGTATAATACTGACAAGTATGCTGAGTATTGGGTACTTGTAACAGTATTGTCATTTGATACTAGGCAATACAGGCATTCTTCATACTGAAAATTGTGAAATAGTGAGTTTGAAAATTGATAAAAAAATGCACTGTGTGGGTAACTCAGAAAAATGTGGCATTACTAGGATGGAAAATCCAAATTGCCATGTATCTGACAGAAAGATGTATTCATAAAAATAATTCATATAGTTTTACTGTGACTCAGCAAACATCTATACATACACCTTTCCAAGTTTACATTACACTCTACTTACTATTTGAAGTATCTCTGACGGTAGATCTGTAACCTTAGAACTTAGAAGATTGACTACAACTCTATTTATAGTAGCTTTATCTTCTACTTTATCCTTGGCATTGTATACTGTTTTAGCAATATCATATATATCAGAATTATTTTGACCAATTGAGGCTAGTTTCTCACAAAATTCTATGACTTTCTTTTGCTCACTAAAATTATACAATATCAATAACAGGTGTAAGTGAAGTACAATTAGTGGTTTTGTACTTAGCACGTTGGATGCCACTGTGGCTTAAAAGCGTCGGTTACCTATTTGCGCAGGTGCCGGTGTCGCTTATAAGCGTTTTGTTCGCATCCATAGCTTTCGTAAGCCAGTTTGCTCGGCACTGCCGATAACTTTGTGTGTGTTGGCAGGCACTCGAGTAAAGGTATTTCAGACGGAAAAGTGCACGCGGTCTTAGAATTTTTGTGATTTTGATATATTCATTGAAAATGGAAAGTGACAATAGTGTGGCAGGCCAGAACTGAACCAGCCGAAGCCTCAAGATCGACTTTACAAAATATGGCCAATTATAAATTTTTTCAATAAAAGAATGGCTGAAGTATATTCTCCAGGATGTGAACTTTCTTTGGATGAATCAATGGTGCTTTTTATGAAAGACTCATATTTAGACAATATATCAAAAACAAAAGGCACAAATATGGAATTAAGTTGTATATGTTGACTAATGCTAAAGGTATTGTTCAGAAATTTGCTGTGTATACAGGTATGCTAGATGATTTGGGTGGCAAACGACATTCACAAAAAATTGTGCTTCATCTACTAAATGATTTGTTGAATCAAGGCCATGACATCTACATGGATAATTATTATAATAGTTTTGATTTAGCCAGAAAACTTTCAGAGAAATCTACACACTGTGCTGGTACACTATGATCAAATGGAAAAAAAAATACCAAAAGCTATAATTTCTACCAAGCTAAAGAAAGGACAAACAGCTGCAAAATATGCCAAAGGTGTAATGATTGGGAAATGTAAGAATAAGCGGGAGGTGCTTTATATTTCTAATAAATATACCAACGTAATGGTTAAAATAGAAAACAAAAGCAAAGAACATGCTTTAAAGCCTTTGCAAATAGCTGAATATAACAAATATATGTCTGGTGTCGACCACCATGATCAGATGTTGTCCTACTACCTTCACGGAAGAAAAACTATATGCTGGCCCAAAAACTTTTCTTTCATATTATTGAAATGATGCTGACTAATTAATTTCATCTATACAATACATTTTCTGGGCAAAAAAAGAATTTCTTTGAAATTCAAATGGCAATTATAAAAAGCCTCCTGCCTCCTACGCCTAAACAAGGATCAATTCGTACACCGGCAAATTATGAACATACGCTAATAAAAAGAGAACCTACTCCAGGCAAGTAGCAGATACTTAGAAAAAGATGCAAATTGTGCACAGAACAACATGAGAAATGCACTGAAACAACTTTTGAACGTGTAACATGTCCAGGGAATCCAGGATATTGCCTCAATTGCAGAATTATTATTCACAAATAGATTGTACTGCGTAATTTTTTATTTATTTTATATGTTTGATGTTCTTAGAATTATTTTTTTTTGTATATTTAAGATTTACTTTTAGCATATTGCCCAAGAATTTGTTATTTTTTGGTATTTGTTTGATGGAATTTATAAATAAATTAAAATTTTCGAAAACGCTTATGAGCGTCGACGGCACCTGGAAGCAATCTTCGAGGTTCAGTGCCATCGCCACTTATACGCGTCAGATTTATTTTATAAAATAACATATTTTTCAAGAGAGGTGTTGCGTATTAGGACCACTAACAATTTATTTTAAACAGTGTTATAACCTCACACCCAAAAAAATATTGAGATCAGGCTAAGTGTATCTAAATTAAAATGGCATCCAACGTGTTAAATAATTATAACTAGATTGGATCAAAATAATAGCGTCACATTAGGCCAAAAAAACTCACATTTCCAGTTCTAAGATCTCTGTGTACAACTTTACAAGCTCCTTTTTAGCATCTTCATTGTCAATTTTCTCATAATAGCTTATCAGACCATTATAAGCTAGCGGATTAGTAGAATTCAGCTCAATAGCTTTTTTAAATGCCTTGGGTGCTTGATCTTCAGGTCCAACTTCTTGTAAAGAAAGTCCCAGGAATATCAGTGCCATATAATTCGTTTTATCCTCTTTCAATATACTCTAGAGTTTCAAACATTATGTTAAACGACTTGTGTTCATAAAATATCCTTATTCTTGTACAAACCTTGGAGACTTTCAAAGAGGTTTCATAGTCTTTATTTTTTATCGCATCTCGCGCCTCTTTCAGCAGTGCCTTTACGTCTTTCATTTTAAGGTTCTGCCCGGTATATTTTGAGCTCTATATCTCATATCAGTGTAAAACTGCTTTAGAAAATAGTAAACATCCAAATCACAGATGTAACATGAAAAGTCGGGTTTTGTTGATTTGACGTTTGAGTTTAAAAGAGTGTCTTGACAAACGCTATGAAAAAACGTCAAACGTAAATTACATGGTTGCCATCACTCCCCATAACTCTACAAATTCACTTCATTTTCAACTAACAGCTTGATAAAAAACACCTACTTTTGATACCACATATGTTAAGTTGCCCCATGGATCGCGCTTGCCTTCCTTTGCATCCCTGAAAATTATTAAAAAAAAACGCGTTAAATGTTTGCTTTCATACATGCTGTTACACAGTACACAACTGATAAATTTTATATAAATATATCAAAGGTCAAATGTTGCAATTTAATATTGTAACAAGAATTAATGGTACTACTAGCGCCATCTGTTGGGAATCGCGTCAGGGACTCTCCTTCGGTGCGAGACTGACCCCGAGTGTTACTACTAGCGACATCTGTTGGGAACCGTGCTAGGGACTCTCCTTCGGTCCTTTGGTATCGACGCGAGGTGCACTCCGGTCTGGAATGACCGCTATGTGGCGTACCGGAACTTTCTCGAATTAACAAGTACCTGCGATGCGGAATATATAAGCCGACAGCCGGGAGAGGGAAGCAGAGTTGAGAGAATGGCGCGACATAATAATTCGTAAATAAGTAGTCAGGCATAACTAGTGGTGTACATACAAAATGTTCTATCTAGTTAAGTTAAAGTTAGTTGTGTTGTGTTTTAAATAAATTAGTGCATTTTTTGTGTGGAATCGAGTGTTGTAATTCACACCAAAAAGAACAAAGAAAAACGATACAATATATAGGCATTAATGAAATAAATTCCAACAATTCTCAACTTACTCTATGAACTTTTCCATGAGTTCATTTAATTGAGGAATGGTTATAGGTTAGGATCAGCAAATTTTGCTCTCAGCTCAGCAGACAACCTGGCATTATTTCTGAGGAGCGGAAATAGCGCTTCACACACCTGCAGAGTGGCAAAATAATCAACTTTCACTGTTTCTTCCGCTTGAGTACCAAATGGTTGTGGAATTTACCTGAAAAGAGAATGATCTTTTATGATATGAAATCAAATAAAAAATAGTAATAGAACTAGGTACTTAGCTTAAATTCAATAGCAGCATTATTGATTACTACATCTAATCCTCCCATGGGTATTTTTGATATGATCCCTGAATTCATTAACACTCTGTTGATCAGTGATATCTAGTTGATTGAATACAGGTTTCAATCCCAACTTATTCAAGTCTTCTACAGCTGTCTGTCCTCTCTTAACATTTCTAGCAGTAAGGTAGACAACCCCATCATACTTTTCACACAGTCCTTTAATTATTCCAGAGCCAATGCCTTTATTACTACCGGTTAACTTGACTAGAATACAGTGAAAGGGTAGGTATTTCGGAAGCAAAACAGTTATACCCTATTTCACGAGTATCTATCTCGCCGATTATCTAGTAATATCTCAAAATTTCCCATATCGGCACAGGACACATAATTCTGATGGATCCGTCAACGCCAGCTGGACAGAGCCGTGATTTGTTTTGGTCTTTTGTATGCTACAAATTCATTTTGTACTTGATAACAGCTCTTTTATTTAGAAAAGTTCATTTGCATACAAAAAACAAAACGCCACAAACAAGTTTTACCAGATTTATATCCGACTCATTATTGCCAACGGTGCAGACTAACACAAAAATGTCACTTGCTGATCAGCTGTTCACCTCAGATAAAGCGTGATGGATACTCGTGAAATAGAGTATATACCATTGATAAACGTGTGGAAATGATTATACTTACCACAGCAACTTTTCGAGATGCCATAGTACTAAATTCTTAAGCAAATAGACCTGTAAAAATTGACCTATGCCACTGGCGGATTTAGAAGTGGGCGCGTCTGACATTTGCTTTTGCAATCTAACACCATTGTGTTACCTTCTGTCACATCATGGTGACAGAAGCATACTAACTACTCGTATAAGTTATAGCTATAGGAACTGAGCATTATGATTTTTTGGTATCCTTTGGTATTCCAAATGCTGTCCCTCATTGACATCACTTGTTTACAGCACAACTCTTACGATTTATACGTATATACGAGTATTGTGAGTTGTGACAAATCTAAATCTAAGTAATATAAAGGGTGTCCCAAAATTAACGCAAGATTTGAATTAGATAGAAAATGCCATTTTTAGTCTTTTAATAGTTATATTTTTATTGACTCATAAAGTACATAGGATAGGGTTATGTATGGAATAACACATCGGACAAATGGCCTCCACGCTTTGCATGCACATGCGCACTCTTTTGTCGAAATTTTCCATGACCCTTCTGCATAAATGTGGCTGAATTTCGTTGATGCAGCGTTGAATCTCCTCCTTTAATGCACGGGTGGTTGTGGGCTTGTTGACATAGACTTGTGATTTCAAATAACCCCATAAAAAGAAGTCTAATGGTGTTAAATTACACGATCTAGGAGGCCAATTTTGATCACCGAAACGAGAGAGTACACGACCGGGAAATGTCTCATGCAGTAATTGAATTGTTTCACGGGCTGTATGACATGTGGCACCGTCTTGTTGAAACCACATATTGGGTACATCAATATCATTCAATTTTGGCAGAAAGAACTGTGTAATCATGTCGCGATATCGAGCACCAGTAACAGTCACTGCTTGACCAGCATCATTTTCAAAAAAATATGGCCCAATTATGCCTCCAGCCCAAAATCCACACCAGACAGTCACGCGTTGTGGGTGCATTTCTTTTTCGACAATCACACGTGGGTTCTCCGAACCCCAAATGCGGCAATTTTGGCGATTGACAAAGCCATCAAGATGAAAATGTGCTTCATCGCTTAGGATGATTTTGCTTGAAAAATCAGGGTCCATTTGTTGATGTTCAATAATCCATTCAACAAACTCTCTTCTCTCTGCATGGTCATTAAGCTTCAATTGTTGTGTTAATTGAAGTTTGTAAGCATGAAGACACAGATCTTTGGTGAGTATACGCTGTAGAGAGGTTCTTGACATTTGCAATTCTTGTCCACGACGTCGAATTGAGGTTCCTGGATTGTCCGCAACACTCTCACGCACTGCTTCGATATTCACATTTGAACGGCTTGTTTTTGGACGACCAGTGTGTTTGGCGTCTCCAACGGATCCAGTCTCCATGAATTTTTCAATTAATCTCTTCACAGTTGACGAAGTTAAAACACTATTCCGGCCATATTTTGTATGAAATTTTCGAACTGCAGCCGCCAAGCTTTCACTATTTTTGAAATATTCTTTAATAATGAAGACACGTTGTTCTATCGTGTAACGCTCCATTTTTCATAACCCTATACTGTTAGCTGTCAAATTGCTTTTTTTCAGGGTTGCCAACACTTCACTGCACAAATGGCGGCAAATTCAAATCTTGCGTTAATTTTGGGACACCCTTTATTAGCTATACAGATTGCACTTAAAAAGTGATCTATGCTCCGTTTGTTGCTCAATAGTAATTTGAAGTGTGTAAAGCTTGACTGATTTTGTGCCTAAATTGGAAATAGACATTTATGAGATTTGTTTAGCGGTGCGCCTGTGGCCTGTCTAGAAACTGCGTCGATCGATGCTCAAAATCAATACCACACAACCCGCATCTCTGCTCGCATATGTGTCTATTTATGTTGCTACATTGAATTCGTTTAAATCACAGAGCTGCTGCACTACACGTGAATATGTACAGCCCTCTGTATTCCTGTACTTGTTTAGTACAAACATACATTATGAAAATAATTACGATCTAACAGATAAAGTTTTTTCTAAGGATTTCCAACATTTCTACATGCGATCAACACCGGTTCGAAAACTGAGAAAACAACTATGGCGTAAATCTAAGTTCGACAACGAAAGTCTGAAAAATAACTTTAACATCTATATTGAATTTCAAAAACCTCAACCCCTACTGAGCGGGACCGTGGCAAATGCTTGCTCCGAAAGTTGTTGTATCCAGCATACAATTTCTTCCCGTACAAGTGATTGTACACGCGTTAAGGAATACCTCAGTACCGATTGCCGGTACAAGTCCACCAACGGGCCACACGTTAGGTCTATTTAATATCATTAAGACGCAAAAAGAAGGTGGTACACAGGGACCAGTCGACCGAGGCGGTACCACCCTATATCTCTTCCCAGGGTGTCTTTTAAATGTCCGCATGTTTCCACACCTAAGCTATGCAGTCGGTTATTTTCCAAAACAAAGAAATTAATGATGATGGATCCCTCGAGTACTGAGAATTCCGGATTTAAGCTCACTCCACTCTCAGAATGTCCGGGTGGACGGTGGACTCGAGGGAACAACATCGAAGATAAAATTTGTTTCACGAACATCTGCGGGATTAACAGCAACATTGATGCTGTTCATCACTACTTGCAATCCAATCGTCCCGCCATGCTTATTTTTTTGGCGGAGACAAAAATCTCAAGAGTCGTCAACGATTAACCATCTTCGCCTCAACTCCAAATCCCCCAAATTTATTTGCTGCCTTTATCGCTTCTCTCGGACCATGACTGGGATGACTTTCTTGGATACCTCGCCGTCAAGATCGACTTCCTGAACATCAATCACTCCACTTCAGAGATAGTTCTCTTCGGGGATTTCAATGACCATGATTTGCTTTGGTTGGGCTCAAACAAGACCAATGCAGCAGGTCGTGCAGTTAAAGCGTTCGCTCTTACTCAAGGACTGACCCAGCTGGTGACGGGCCCTACTTTTTTTGCCCCGCGTCTCGTCACATGCCAGTATCCTGCTGGATCTCTTTCTGACCACGCATCATGTCCCTTACAGCTCCGCTGACCTGTCTCCCCTGGGTAACTCAGACCACTGTGTTGTGGAGGTTAGGTTTCGGTCAGAACCCGCTGTTTCAGCAGAAACTCGCACAGGCCGCAAAATTTGGCATTACGGACATGCCGACTGGGAGGGGCTCAGGGACTTCTCTACCTTTCCTCAGAGAAATGTCTGTTTCAGTAACGCGGATGCGTCGGCTCCCTGTTCTTCGATAACCGAAATTATCCACGTCGTAATGAAGGAATACATGCCTCATACTGCTGATATAATAGAAGTGCTTGCACCATTTACTTCTGTTGTTTAATGGGCAGTTCAGAGTCTTAATGATCAAGCTTATTACATACTAGTACACCCCGCGCGCAATCTCTCTATAGGCAGTTTGGAGACTGTCCCAAGACACGATCTATAGATAGTCTACAGACATCCTCCTTTGTCTTGTCTAGCGTCCATACGATATTGTACATTTTTTGGTCTCATGTTCGAAATCAAAGACATTGTTTTGTGTGGAATGGACTGGGATATGTCTCGGAGTCCCTCAGAATGTTTTATTAATTTTTTGTCGGTTAACAGAGCAATGAAGTTTTTTATGTTTGAATCTTTAATATTATACACTAGATAATTTTAAATGCCACGTACTTATTTTGTTCTCATATAATAAAATATTAGCTTTCCGAGGATTTCTGAGCAATATCCATGTTTTTTTTCAAGCTTGCCTTGACCAGATAGAACACAATGGATTTAAGGAGCAATAATAGGATAAATTCTAGAAGTTCTACTGAGGTTAAAAAAATGACCAGCCCCAAATATCGTTTGCGCACCCCCCTAGACGAAATCCTGAATCCGCCCTTGACCTATGCCGGGATTAATAATGTCCTCTGCTAAGGTGGATGATTTTTTTGACGAAGAAAGCTGATATGAAACGTTAGATGAAGCATACATATGACCGCATGCTACATGCTCTACAAACACAATATAATACTTGTTTACCAACAAATTAATTTCCTGGATAACGGGTTATGTTTTCATATACAAAAGCCGCTTTCAGTGCTTTTGAAATAAGAGTTGTATGCACCCGGAGAGTAATGCTTCTCTAGCAAATATGCACGGGAACGCGACAATAAAAACCTAACGTGTTTGTTGATGTTTTGCTTTGACGTTGACAATTTGTATCACACTGCCAAACAATTGAAAATGTAAACACATTTTGCCTTTATTTTCAGAAGCATTGTCATG